TTTTTTTTCTGTTCGCGACCACACGGACAAACACGCTCACATTGTAGACGAATGGTACTCCTGCGTTGCGGAATGGTACTAAAATAAAAAATAAGTCTTGCAGTGAAATGTGCCCAGCTCGGTGCTATGCTTAACCATCTGCACTTCACAGTTGTCGTTCTAATTGTCAATATTGTTGTTGTTGGCACTTGTTTGTTTCGTTGCTGCTGTTGCTCATTACAATTTTTTTTGCCGCCAACTCCAGGATCCATTGCGATTCGGAGATGAAAGTTGAATCGACAGGGTATCGCACAGATGTTGACTATAATAAATAAGTACTCATCCCTTCACCCCGAGAATTCGTTTTCTTGTTGTGTGCTGTATCCTCCCGTCTCAAACGAAAAAAGAAAAAAGAAATGACAAAAAGGTGTATTGAGCTATCAAAAAGCATTACCGCGAATGTCATCCGGGTCTGTATTTTTGTTTTGTTGTGTTTTGTTTTTCCACCTTCGTCATTGGCTTCATTACACGTTTCTTCAAACCTCTTTGCCATTACGACACACAAGAAACCGAACGAAAAGAAGAACAATGGATTGATAGGGAGAGCTCCCATACACACATACGCACATTCAAAGATGCTTTAACACACTGACCACAGATCGTCACTGGCTATCTATCACCCGCCGTAATCATCCTTTATTGTTATTTTTGTTGGCACTCGTGTCTAGCCCTTTTGCTTCATGGAGGAGGCGAAGGGTAGAATCATTACTCTATTCACTGCCACTTTTGCTTTTGATGTTGTCGTGAGTTTGCTCTACAACACACATACACACACACACACAATGGATCGCATTTTTTCATTCAATTCTTTGTACTCAATGTTCGTGGACGTGTTTGCGTGTTTGCATTTGATCGCGAAAGGAGGAGAGGTGAGGGAAGGGGATGAATACCAACAGCTGAAAATAAAACAACTTGACAACAAACAACAAAAGTGTCCCCATGTGCATGATACAAAAAAGTGTACACAAAACAAGGTTGCTCTTTTTCAGGATAAGTCGGTGGATCATCACAATGCGCCAAAATAAACCATAAACTCGACGGACGGCGGGCGGCTCTTGCTCTCTCGCTCCCAGGACCACTTGACCCTTCCCTTGTTCCTTTGGTTCCCTTCCCTCCCCTCTCATTCCCTCATTTTGCTACATTTTTTTTTGCCGCCTTCACCCACACAACTCGCTCAACTTTCCTGATGGGAGTGGGGGTTTTACATTGACACGAGTAACTAGTAAGTGTTTAAAGTGTAAAGCTCCTCTTTTTCTCTCCTCCAGGGCACCAGTCGGTTTTATTGTTTGTTGTTGTGATGTCGGAGGGAAACAAATGACAAAGAAAAGGCGATTATTATCTAATGCATCAGGGTAAACCCTAAAAGCAGCGAGAACAACTCAAGCAACACAGACAGAGCAGCTGGTTTCTACCTGACAAACATGGTTACAAGCTACTTTACCAAGCTAAGGTGTGATAATAAAAAAGACGGGTCTACTACACAGTTCTACCTTATCCGTTTCGAATGAGGGTCCTTTGTTGGTGAGTTGACTGAATAAGGGTATCGATGGTTGATCAATTCAGTTGTCACTGATTGAATGTTTTACTTTCATCTGATGAATGTCGACGAAGACTTACCGCTGTTGTTGGTGTTGTTGCTGTTGTTGACGACAATCCTTTTTGTTAACCACTCATTCGTGGGTCGAATGACTTTAATATTACAACGACGACGATGATGTTACTTCAATCGGTAAGCCTCCTGCTTTTTGTTCTTCGTTCGCTCGGGGGCTTCTTTTTCTTTTTCGTCTTCATTCCTTCTCACACCCCCATTTTTTTTATTCTTTCATAACCCCATCCTGGCCAATTTCCCAGCAAAGAGAGTATGGGGTGAGAACGAGGAAGGAAGATGTTGTTGTCTAACTCCTTCATTCGTACTCTCTCTCTCTTTTGTTGTTCGAGCATGTTCTCCTTTCAACTCTGTCTTTCCCCCTACAGGGCAAGCTGACAGGTAAGAAGACGGGCAGCAAGCATCCCTTTCTCTGTCTCCTTCATTGCTGAATATAAAGATAAAGAAACAAAAAAAAAACTGAGATTCTATTCAGTCGCTTTAGAGTAATATTTCTAATACAGTCGGATTGTTTTTTTTTAACATTTATTTTTTGTGTACGTCAATTTGAATTAATTCAATCACTATTCAACTTCTATCCCATCACCATCCATCCCCACCTGGTTCAGTACACCATTGTTCAATGTTCATTGAGTACCCAAACAAAAAATGTTATAAATGATCCCACCTTGTTGTGCTTTTTTCTTTTTTCTTCTTTTCACTTTCTTCTTTCCTTACTGCTTTCTTCTCTTCTTGAACTTACAAAGCCCCTTACTTTTCATATCTCTCCCTCTCTCTCTCTCTCTCTTTCGAGATTTTACAAAGTCTTCAACAAGTCAACAGGTTATCAACAAACACCACAAGAACGCACAACCACCTCCAACAACAATAGCAACACGCACCAACAACAACACACACTAGTGGCATCCCACCCTTTACCTCTTAGCACCACTCCCTCGCTTACCCACATCCAACTTTCACATCCAACTTTTGCATTAAGCGCCCTTTTTTCTATCTTACATTTCTGTTCTCAAGACACACTTTGTATTCAACTTCCTTCACTCCCATTTTTTTTCTTCAGATCACCACAATGTAAGTAAAAAAGAAGGATTTTTAGAAAGTGGGAGACTGGCAAAGTGGAGGAAGAAGAAGAGAGAAGAAGGGAAGAAGGAGAGGCACAACAAGGCTGGCACCGCCAAGGGGACCCGATCTGGGACAATGTCTCAGATTAGATCCATGGTCACCGACCAGCCTTTGGTTCTGGTTGTGCCTGTCCTGCCCTGCCCTGCCCTACCCTACCGCCTGCCGGAGCAAACTCCTTCATTATCGTTATTTGCCACGGATAAAACTGCTTTTTATCCCCACCTTGCCTCACGTTGACCTTGTACATCCCTTCCTTCCCTTCTCTCACCCGAAATCACCGCTGTATTTATTTATTTGTCCCATTTCCTCCTCATATTATTTACATCTCCCAATATTGATGTCGATTGAAGCAGACAAAAAAAAACGGTTTTTGCGCAAGCAAGCGGCGGACACAAAAGCCCATGGTTGGGTTGGCTGTTCATTTGATGCATGTGGCGTGCCTTGCAATGCAATCAACAACGCACCTTCGTCACTGTTCCTTGCGGTGTTTCGTCACACTTTCTTTAGCCAGTTATCATCGACACCTTGTTATTATCAGCCTTTTTATTTGCCTCTTTCTTGTTTCCTCCGCTTCTCTTCCTTTTCGTCTTCTCGTCTTCCTTTCCCAAAATACACTCTTCCTCCTCCCCTATCCAGCGTTTCTCCTCACGCCTGTACTTTTTCTACTCCCGTTTGTACCAAACATCACATCCCACAGATGTGGCCCTAAACCATTCAAACAATACCCTAACCTTGTGTATGTATACTTCTTTTATCCTTGAACTTGTACCTCACCTAACAGACCGTCAAGGCACTAGAGCATTTGCCTTTGTTCCTTTCAAGCGCCATTTTCTACTCTGTAAGTCGTAAGTCTCTATCCACCTCTCCTCCCTCTCCACTTTCCTATCCACTTCCTGCCTCCATCAGCACAAAACAACTCGTTGGTGTTCAAGGTTGCTGTAATGTCTTCCACTCTCTCTCTCTCTACCTCTCTCTCTTTTTTTGTACCTGTCTTTCTCTTTCTTTCTCTATCTCTGAAGCGCGAAAGGACGTATGTTGAGTCGGCAAGAGTCTGGCGCCTTGGGGTTCAACATCATTCAGGACATGGACACTTCAACAGCAACAACAACAGCCGGCCACTCATCCATCCTTCCTCCGTGTGTCTACTAGCCGAGTCAAAACAACAGCTTGCTAATCATAACCAACTTTTTATTAATAAATGTCTTCTTCCTTTTCTCTCCTCTCCCTCTCTCCTTTCTGTCACCCCCCCTATTGTCCACTTCTGTCCTCGCGCCCTTCTGTCACCTTGCTTCCTCCCTCTCGTCCTTCCATCCTGTCCTTCCATCCTGTCCTTCCATCTCTCCTTTCCCTTTTGTCGTCCACCTCCTCCTCGCCATCATCATTATCTCTCCCTGCCTGCCATCCTACCTATCCTCCTCCTTTTGTTTAATGTGATATCTACTCACTTCCACTACACACAAACACAGACACAAACACAAACACACACAACGGTGCTACCGTCGTTCCTCGAATAGATTTCATCCCCCTTCTGTCCGATTTTTCCTTTCTATTGTTTCGGTCAAGAGTCGCTTATCTTTTTATTTCCAAGCCCTCGCGCAACAACAACAACAACAACAACAACAACCTCCCTACCCTCTATCCTCTAATTGACAAGGTTCTCCAATGCTCTCCGTCTGTAGCCCACTGCAAATCGAAACCACTTCGTCCTTCCCCTTTTACAGTGAGACGCGACAGAACTCCAATTCTTACTCTCATTCACACCACCCATACCACTCATACGAACAACAACAACAGCAGCGTCCCGACAACTCTTCACGAACACCACCAAGTTCACAATCATCTGTTGACTGGAGGCAGCAGCAGTCTTCTCACACATCAACACACCCGACTCCATTCAACAGCAGATCCCAGACGGGAGCCTCCACATCCACAGCGCCCTTTTCCATCGCCGAGAGCAGCACAGACCAACCTGGTAATTATCTCCTTCGCAGCCTTTTTTTTTTTTTTTTTCCGTTGTCTCTCAATTGTCTCCCTTTTCCACAATGCACCACAATCAGTGAATTCCCCTATTTCGTAATTTCATTTCCTCCTTTTGCAAAGATTGGAGCGCCGCCGATATGTCTGTTGTCTGACGTCTGACGACTTTTGCTAACCCGACACACACACACTCCTTTCTCCTCTTCCTCCTTCCTTTTCCTTTGTTCACCCCCTTTTCCTTCTTAACATAGCTATGATGCCCTCTCAACCACAAACAGCCCCACAGCCCATCTACAGCGCCCCCTTTTCAGAGCTCAACTCCATGAAGGAGATGGCACCACCACACTACATGACCCCCTACCCTTCCCACAACACCCGCCTTACCATCCACGACCGTCGTCAATCCATGATCGCTGGCCGCAACAAAACCCAGACAAGCACTCCTCCCACATCCGACCGATCTCGCCCCGACTACTCCCAGGGCGTTGCACCCGAGAGTGCTTCTGCTGTTAGCTCATGGGAAACCGCACAGCCTTCTTCACATTCTTCCGTGCAGACAAACCTGCCCCCACTTTCCGAAGCCCTTCATGGCATCAAGTCCGAGTCTTCCCCCTCCATGGCTATCTCACCCCCATCTCAACCACAAGCGACCTTCTCGGCCGTCGGTAATATGGTTGCCTCTCCCCCTAACTTTTATGCACCCACACCCTACTTGGACGTCCAAGCACCTCTTCATGTCTATCCCACCCAAGAGCAGTTCGAAAGTGACCCCTCAAGGATGCCGCCCCAAAGTGTTCAAGATCGCCAGGCCCCTGCATCTGCTCACCAAATGGTCTCCCAAGATGCCAACCCCAGTAATGACCCCGTCTACGCTCGTCGCGTGACCTATCCTTTTGTCCCCGCCTTGGAGTCAGCCTCTAGTCTGGTGATGTCCAGTGTGATGACCGAGACTGCCGGTGCGAGCCCCTTGAGCAATAGCGGACCATTCACACACGGTGGTCTTGTTGCCCAGGGAATGACCCGGACCTCGCCTAATCTTGGCTATGTCGACTCTCTTGCTCTCCAGTCTCATCATATCCACGGTCAACCAGCAAGCGGTGCCTACCACTCACACCCTGCCGGTGTCGCCCAGCACCATCAACAACAGCAACGTGCCATGAACCCAGCTGGCTGGGCTCAAGATGGCACCGACATGTCCAGTTTGGATGGTAGCGTCAATGGATCCAAGGTCTATTCCTTTGTTCCTCTCTCCGGTGTCAACTCCAAAAAGCGTCCTCGCCGTCGTTTTGACGAGATTGAGCGACTCTATGTCTGTAACTGGGGTGAGTGCGAGAAAGCCTATGGTACCCTCAACCACTTGAATGCCCACGTCCACATGCAAAAGCATGGCCCCAAGCGTCTCCCAGCTGGTATGTCCTCCTTTTCATTATCATCTGTATTTCGCGCTCGTTCTTCAAACTATCACACTGTCCATGTACCTAAGGCTGTATACTAACCTTGACTTTATGATTTATTCTTCAACTTTACGAAAAAACAGAGTTCAAGGAACTTCGAAAGGCATGGCGAAAGCACAAGCGCGCCGAGGAAGAGGCATCGAAGCAAGCCGCTGTTTTCCAGCAGCAGCAGGCTCAGAACCAGCAAGCCCAGATGCAGCCTCTGTGCGACCCTTTGATGTCCCATATGCACGCAGCAGCCGCTGGCCACCACCCTTTGGCGATGCACTCGATGGCCCATCACCACCAGCAGCCTCAGCCTCACCAGCTTCCTCTGCCTCATGTCCACCCCAACCAGCACCCACACAACCCCCACCATTCCCAGTCGGCAACCTCTCAGCACCATCACCACCAGATGGGCTTTTAAGCAAAGCGCGCTTCCGACGTGTGGTCTGCCTACGACCTATAGCTTTAAGCCAAAATTATGACCATTTGCTTTTCTAGTCTTTTTGCACTTTCTTTCCCATTCTGTACTCTTTGAAACCTACTTCTGTACCATCATGACCCCAACCTTACTCTTTCTAGTTTTCACTTCACAAACTTGCCATGTTCCTTTACTCTCGTTGCTTTAATTCAACCCAAAAAAACGCTCAATTGTATTTCTTAGATAGTCGTTCCTCTCCTTTCCTTCGCAGCGTTACCTTTTTCATCAGATAGTTTTTACCCTGAACAAATCTTGCCACAAAACAAAACAATAAGAATTGCTTTTTTTGCCTCAACTGCTGGTCTCCATTTTGTTGAAGAATATGGTGACGTCACTATTTTTTTCTTCTTTCTCTTCTCCATTCCTCATGTCTTCCTTTACTCACTCACTTTCTTGTCATGATTCTTTACTGAAGTTGTTCTATTACTCATTCACTCATATGCATTGGCAGCCCTTTCCCTTTGTCTTTTTGACTCCCTTGTCGTCCACTTTCCACGGAGCCCCTTCTTTCCTTCTTCACTCCAAAGACGCCTTCTCACCCTTAACTTGATCCCTTTAGCGACACTGCACTGCACTGCACTACAACACACTACCTTTGTTTATTTTGGCTTGATTCCTTCCCTGTCGCCTTTCCTTCCTTCCTTCCTTTCTTCCTTCGACAAACAAAAGTCTCACTCATACTCTTTTCTATCGTTTTGTTATTAGTCCTTTGCTACTTCTATTCGTAGTAACACTCCACTCTTGTCGTCTTCTCACCACTCTCATTTTTGTTGTTGTTGATTGCACTCCTGTTTGATTACCATCCACCTTGACCGCCTTCGTCTTCTGCGCCATCGCCTCCTTAAGGCTGCATCTGATCAGTTCTGTCCTTCCCATCAACACACACACTCCCTTGTTGACGAACACCCCTCCCCCAAGGATTTTTCCTTCTTCTTTTTCACACCTCCTCCCTCACGACTACCCGCACGCGCACTCTCTTGCTCTCACCTTCTTTCTCGCCGCCTTTCTTACCTAACCTTGGAAACTCTTGGTCTATCTCATGGCTGAAAACGCAGGGGACAAGGCAAGTCGTTTTCCTCACCTTTACCTAACAACTCTGCGTTCTATTGCAATTCGACTGGACTTTTTAGACAAAGCATCCATCGCTAACCTCTATGCGTTTCTTGCCCGCTTTTTAGACCGAGGATCAACCTTCTCCAGTCCAAGGCAAGGCACCATTCACTATATTGAAGCCTATCCCTCCGCCTGCACAGGAGCCCACATCAATGCAGGTCAACGATACCTTGGCATCCCAGGAACCTGTCGCCAAATTGACTAAAGCACTCGAAGGATTGGAGGTCGAGGAAGAGTGCAACGATGCACAGGATATGGCTCTCGACGAGTTCTTAGTCAACGCACTCAAGAATCGACAGGAGCGGATCTTTTTGCTGAAGCTTGACCGAGAGTTTTGCAGCTTCATCAACAACCCAAGGTATGCCTTTTGCTTCAATCTACCACTCTCTTTTGCACACTCGCCCACAGCGATTGAATGGCGCAAGAGTGTCACATGTGCGTTGTGAATGGTTTGCTAATTTACAACTACCATTATTTTGTGGTTTATTTATTACCTCAACCTGCCATAACAGTCAGCCTCAACTAGAGTTCCCAACTCTCAATGGCTACTATCGTATGATGGTCCACAAAGTCGCTAACTACTTCAAGCTCACCCGTATCGTCGATCCGTCGCAAAAGATTATCCTCTTCAAGACCGAATCGTCTGCGATGTAAGCATTGACTCTATTGAAATCATTATCGATGTGAAAGCAAAGGTGTATCAACAAAACAACAACAACCACTCCAGCCATATGACTAATGCACGAGTTGCGTTTATTTCCAGCCCCCCATTACGCATCTCAGACTTGGCCGAAGAAGAGGACGAACAGCCCGTCAAGATGATGAAGGTTTTGAAGAGGAATCCCGGTAGATCCTCCAGTGGATCAGCTACTCCAGACGGATCATCAGAGCCAGAGCGAAAGCCCATGTCGATCAAGGAACGTGAAGAGGCATACGCCAAGGCCAGAGCGCGAATTTTCCAGGAGGATGTCCCGGCCAAGCCAAAATCGCCAAGCGAGAGTTCTGATCCAATTGTCCCTGTCGACTCTCCCTCCACAACTGCAGTGGAAACAAATCCGCCCGGTCGGGAAGGCAACGATGAGAGTCCCCATGGAGCCAATCGCACGAGGACTTCTAATGGGAAGAAGTCGGTGGCTGGATCTAGGCACACGGACGATCAGGACGAACGGGATGGACGTCAGCCATCATTACCAAACTCGTGCAATGTCTCCCGAAGCACGTCTCCATCACCCTCCGTCACCATCAGCAACTCTGATCCAAATGCTCGACAATCCGGCAAAGGACTTCGGCCCAAAGCAAAGCAGTCTAAGACCGATCTTGCAGCAGAGTGCGCTGATGTCAGAAGACGTAAGAGCACGACTTCCAATGCTTCGTCATCGTCGGGAACTGTCAAGACACCGGTGGGGTTGGCCCGGACCATCTCGTCATCATCTAGCCAGGATGGGTTCCAGAGCCCCAATTCCGGCATGACCTTGACAGAGTCGCCTACTGTGAATTCACCTTCAAGCGGAACACCCAAAGGATACGACTACTTTGCGCCCAACCCCAACTCGAATTCCGGATCTGTATCGCCCATGAGCAATGGACTACGAGCGTCCTATACCTACCCTCAGCCCGGCGGACACAAGCAACAACGGAACTTCAACGGCCCTGCGACGCATAATGGAGGCGGCCCAGGCGGTATGGGATACAACAACGCTCAGTCCAACTCTGGTTTCATGAAGGGTATGAACACACCCGCCTTTGTGCCTAAAAAACCATATCCCAAGCATGGTCAGGTCAACAACCACCAAAACGCCGGTCCCTATAACAATGGCCCCATGCCTGGCTACCCTTCAGGGCCTTCCAACCCACCCCATGCATTCAACAACAATAACAACGGCAACAACCATTATACCCAGCAACCACACCCTAACCCGGCTTCACCCTGGTCTGATCGAAGCGGAGCCCCAGGGCAGGATGGACCCAATTTTTATGTGCAACAGGATGCTATGCATGGCAGCTCGTCGCAACCCCCGCCTCAAGGATTCAACTACTCCAATGCTCCCAATCAGTTCTCGCAACCAGGACCAAGTATGCACCCTTCCTATAACAGCCAACACCAGTACCACCAACATCATCCTTCAAATAACCACCCAAACACCCACCACGCATCACAGCGTGGTGGCCGTCGCAACCAATCTACTCAACCCTACTACCAACACCACAATCACCCCAGGACAAACCCCCAAATGCACAATCCACAGCAGCATCCTCCGCACCATGGCGGCAATTTCAACGGTCCTCCCCCCAGGGACGACTTCACGTACAATCAAGGACCTCAATCGTCTATGCGATACAACCGAGGTTATGATAGCAATCCAAACCATCCTCCCTCTCAGCAATATGCTCCCGATTTCTATCCCACGCATGGCATGCCAGTTGACCCCCCAAACGGACCTAATATGTATCCAGGATTCCAGGGTCACCAAATATCCCCAGGCGAAGGCCCTGTAAGTGACACTTCTATCTTCAGTTGATACAAATGAGTCAACTGAGCGTATCATTGGAAAGCAGTCTAATCTTTGGTATTATTGCATGTTGTTTTAGCAGAATGGACAGCGGTATCCCTTCCACCACAAAGGACCATATGATGCTAACTGGGGACAAGGACCCGGCCACCCTGCCGGACAGGGTTATGATCAGCCCAACACGCTGTACAACCCAGCAGCCCAACCACAGGGAGGCAAGAAACCATACAAGAACTATCACTCGATCCCAGTAGTGAACCAGCAGCAGTTTTCGTCAACGATGGGAGGTCCTCAGAACGTCATGTCTCAGGCTTTACCCGGAGCGGGACCTGGTGGCATTGGCGGGAATGGTGCGATCTCTCATTACGACATTGAGCGGAGGCCACCCAAATCCGCTGAACTCTTTGACCCCAATGGCCCACAGCCCTCAAGTGGCAGTGGGGGAGGAGGAAGCCAAGGCGAGTTTGGGAATGGTAGCCGTTACCAGGGAACGAGCGACGGAGGATATATGAGCGGTCAAGATGGACCGACGATGGCAGGCGAGAGGCAACCTCAGGGACACCGAAGCTCGTTCCATGGGCAGTATCAGTCGCAGTCCGGCGCACACTACAATCAGGCGACATTCCAGCCACCACATGCACCTATTGCTATGAACCGGTCGTACTCTTCCTCGTCCTCTTCAGCGGGTTACAGTGGAGGAAACACAAGCAGCCCCGGCCCTCATGCGGGCAAGAAGAATCATAGCCTGCTCTATGACTATTCAGTGACAACCCAGTCCTATGATGGCAATGTCAAATCTACTACCGCTGGTGAGTCATACATCTACTCTTCATTTATTTTAATGGTGTAAGCCTTCCTACACGATCTTTGATTTACATTGAAAGTGTGTAATCTGACTAACGCATGTTTTTGATTTGGTTATCGAATGCATAGAGGCTGACAAGGCGTCTGCGCCAGCATTAGGTCACATTTTGGAGATCTTCGGCTATGATGCACAGGACGACATTTTTGAGGATTTGGCACTGCCAGCTGGTTCGAAGGTGAGGCGGTTAAAGGCGGCCAACAAGGAGTTGTTGGGCCAGGTGTTGGTGGTGTTCAAGAATGCGACCCTGGCGTCCGAGGCCTTGTCCACCTTCCAAGAGGGCAAGTCGACATGGATGAACCCTGAGGCGAAGCTGCAGTTTGACTCGACGTGCTTGACCTCAGAGGAAGGCGAGAGTGTGGAGGCAACTGGATCGGAGGAGGGAGAATCGGAGGAAAGTTCCAAGTCGGCAGCGGCAGCATTACCTTCGACACGGTTACAACGTCGGTTCAATGTCAAAGTCTGGACACCTGTTCTTGTCAACAGCGTAACACCTCTCAAGGCCACTCAGCCCCAGCTTTCATCATCACCATCGAACGATTCGACCAACAACAATAACAATAACGCTGGCAGTGCTAGTAGTATTGGAACTGCACAGTCGGAGGATGGCGAGGAGAGAGATCAGGAGGATGTTGTTGTTGTGATTGGTATTTCTTCTTCATCTGCTGCTGCTGCTGCAGTAGCTACTGCAGTTTCGTCCTCATCACCGACATTGCAGAAGGAAAGTGATCCAGGGTCTGTGATACTGGGACTCTAGCTCACAAAAACTCCAATTTTTTTTTTTACCCCTTTCGCCCTTGCAGTAATAAACCTTTTCTTTGCACTAAAATTCATTTTTTTTTATTCAAGTGAAAGGGGAAAAGCTATGTACAGCAAAGGTGTCATTGAATATTTTTTTTGTTATGGTTTGGTATTCGGATAATGTTGCAAGCAAAAGTCAAAAGAGCGAGCGAATTTGGGGGGGGGGACACCACAGGGATGAACAAAAATAGAAGAAACGAAAAAGGGAGCATAGTAGTCTTTTTGCTTAGATGGCAGACATGCTGGCACGCTTCAGGTATTGAGGAGGCAAGCTGCTTGGTTCCGCCGACGAGCCCAAAGAATTGGGGTTCAAATTGCTTCCACTGTTATTGGTGCTATGACCCGAAGGATCCGGAGTACCGGGGATTGGAGTCGGGACACGGGAGCCATGGTTGTTCTCTCCAAAGTAAGTGTCCATTAACAGCGAGGCCAGACGATGCTGGTCCCTGTCGTCCGAAAGGATAACTGCCTCAAGAGCATCGACGCCGTTCATTTCCGAGAGCAGCGCGGGCGCATCCTGGATGCCCGAGTTGAGCAGGAGTTGGACGTAGCGCAGTCCTAGGGAGATGAGTTCGTGGTCCTTTGTGCGCATAAAGTCCAAGAAACCTGGGAGGAGTTCTCGATGTGGGAGGGCCTTTGCGTAGTCTGGGCCGTGTGATGCCAGGTTGATGAGACTGTATGCTGCCTATTTTTTTTTCAATGTTTGATAGGAAGTAGAGGCATATTGTGTTAGTCGTTGAGTCAAAATTTTTACCTTCTATGTTGCAGGTGACCAGAAAGTGAAAAAAATTAAGCAATGTACCTCTTTGCGAATGTCAAAGTTCTGGTGGGAGGCGATCTGGGAGAGGACGGGGATGAATCCAGCGTCGATCACCTTGATCAAGTCCTTGCCAGTGTGGTCTGCAGTGATATTCGACATCAACCAAAGACTTTCCTTCTTGACCGGTCTACATGAACGAATGTCCAAATGGCAAACATGTCAGTACTCAAGTCAATGAAGCAACCAACAAGATAAAGCTAAAGAGACAAAAGCTCAACGAAAAAAAAAAAAAAGCTTACCGGCAGTCAGACTGAATAAACTGGAGCATGGCAGGGAGGAAGCCCGGCTCGTTAATCAAAGCCGAGGTATTGTTGTCGGGCCCACTGGCGATGTTACCGAGTGCACGGACCAAGGGGATCGCGAGAGCCTTCTGATCCAAGAAATCCTTCAAGGGTGTCACCAACAACGGGATCAGACGATGTTCCAACAACTGTGTACTCACATTTTCGGGGCCCGATGTCAAATACACTACCACCCACGCCGCTTCCGAAATCACCGCCGGCTCCTATTTAAAAAATGATAATAGAAACAGATTGCATCTTCAGTCAGGTGGTTGCGGTGTTGCACTGGAAGTAGGGACGGTAACACACCTGATTCTGGAAACGTGCACTTACAGTGTCGACGCGAAGGTGGTGAAGCAATGGCTTGATGAGTCCAGCTTTGACCAGAACCTCCTGTTGTGCGCCCTCTCCACGCGCCAGGTTCGACAATGCAAAGCAGGCTGTCTGCACCAAGTTCAAATCCTATCAGCATCAAAAGAAAACAAAGCAACAGATCAGTTTACTTCCAAGCTTGTCACAATACACATCATTTTGAGCAAGCTTGAAGGTAAAAGGTACCTTTGAGTCCAAGAGCTTGATGAGAGGTGGAAGGACGCCATTGTCCTTGAGACGGTCTCGGAACTTGGGACCATCGGCAGCAATGTTGCCCAAGGCCCAAGCAGACTGGTCAACAAGAGCCAAATTCTGGCTGTCCAAGAACTGGATCAGGTGAGGGGCCGTGTTCAGAGCAGCTTCACACAGTTCAGAGGATCCACCCGCTGCCATGTTGGTCACGACCGATGCCGCCAACAATTGCTCTTCTGCATCTGACCCCGTCAACAAACCCTAAAAAAGAGAAAATAGAAGGAGGTGTGAGGAAGGGGGCGATGGAAATGGATTCCAAAGCAGATGCATGAAGAAACCATGCAAGCAAAGCAGGTCACTTGTAAGTAGATGAGTGATTGTAGGATAGTGCACTTACCTCGAGGATGGTAGCAAACTCCTTGCTTGAGACCAAGGTCTGGAGGGCGCGGGATCCGCTATGGTTTGTCAGATACTCGCTGACAGTCGTGAGTGCTTCGATTTTCTCGGTCCTCTTTTCACTCTATTGTTGAAATTTGAGTTCGAATGATGATGATGGCCTCAGTAAGGTGAGACGCAACACGGGCAGGTGGTTCCAATATATGCACGAAGGAAGAAGAAAAAAAAGAGGTCGGTGCGCGCCAATCATTTTGGATCTTTCACGTACAGTAGTACAGTATAGTACGTTTATAAGTGTATATGAATGTGAGGCGTGTGTTCAGCAATGACAAAAGAAAAGGAGGGCGAGGAAGTAGGAGGTGTGTGATTCGTTTACCTTGAGCAGCGCCTGGACGCTATCGAGTTGATCCTTCCCCAGCTCGACCTCTTCGTCTAACAACAAGACCCGTTACAAAAACGAAAAAGAGAAAACGAGAACGAGAAACAGAGCAAGTGGTGGTTCTGTCAGTTTCACAACTTGCACCCATTTTCAAGTTTTTTCTTCTCTCTTTTCATAAATGTTGTTTCTTTTTTTCTTTTTTTTTTGAACGGTGTTGAAAGAGGGCGTGAGAAGTAGGGGTGGGCAAGTGAATCAACAGCGATGGAGTGGAATCAAGGATAAACGAGGATGCACGAGAGTATCAAGTCATGAACGAAGGAGCGCGAAAAGGCAGTAGTGGAGTTTGAGGGGGTAGGGGAAGGTTCAAAGACGCTTTGTTGATACACCCCTCTTTGGACAGGAGTGGTGAGAGCAAAAAAGCGGTTCGTGGGGCAATTTGCGAACACACAAAGTAAGAGAGAGGAGGAGTAGTACACATCCTCGACAGATGGGCAAGGGTTCACTCTGGCGACTGCATCGCACGTATCAGCAAGCCAAGAGGACAACGCCCAACACAACACTCCTCAGCAAAAGATGGGCTTACCTGCACCAGTTTCAGTCTGATCCTTGGACCGCTTGAACCGCTTGGCGCTAACAAGCTCCTCCCGTCGCTGCTTACGGAGCTGGGCATCTTCCTTGACCCGTTTGTTGGCCGCTTCTTTGGCCGTCTTGGGCATGGCGTTCGCCTTGTACTGCGACCTGCGCTTCTGATCACCTGCAGCGATCGCGCTTTCGATACCTTCGATACCTTCTGCTACTCCGGGAGCGGTGTCGCTGGCTCCTTCATCGTTCTTTTCGTTGTGCTCGGGGTTGTTGTTGTTGTTGCCCTTGTTGGCTGCCGCGGCGAGGCGGGAGCTGGAGCGAGTCGTGCGTTTCTCCATAACGTTTTTTTTTTTTTTTAGTTTGCTTGCTGAGTTTACTGGGAAAGAGAGTGGAGTTAGGGGTGCGTAGTAAAGAAGGAGGACGAGCTGTTTCTTTATGAGGTTTTCCTTTTGTCGGTCGTTCCTCTGCTACAGTGATACTGCTGCTGTTGGTGCTATTCGCGGTTGTTTGGGTAGTGCGTGCGTGCGTGTGTAGTGTGTGTGTGGTGTGGTGTATTCCTGTCGATGATGTGTATTGTGGGAAAAAGGAGTTTGGGAAAGGGGACAAAGGACACTCTTCTACTCCACATCAATCCGTCCCAGTGTGGAGAGTGAAGAGGTGCCAGTCCCACCTGCACAGTCACTCCACGTGACTTTTGCCAGGTAAGAGCTTGAGGAACGCGACCCTACTCGGGCTTATGGGCATATTTTATTTATTTTTTGATTCCCATCCATTCTTTCATTTCCTCTGCGAGAACAAAACACAACAACCAGAACCATGTCGCACTCGCACGGGCCAGACGGGGCAGCAGGAGGACTTCACACCACCAACAACACATCCCAACCACAACCGCAAGGAATCGCACAACCCCCACCACCAGTAGTCCTCACACCGGCATTACTCGAATCCCTCAAGGTCTCAAAGATCTTCAAGGACAACACCCAGGCCATCACCTCTATTCACTTTGACGACTCCGGTTCCAAATGTGTCACCAGTGCTACTGACGAGAGTCTTCACGTCTACGACTGTTATACCGGAAAGTACGTTTCTCTTTTCGTCATTTGTTGTGCAAAAAAAGGGACAGGATCTTCAGTTTGGATGATATTAATTGGTCTCAACATTTTCATTGTTGGAATGTAGGCTGGAGAAGACATTGTTCAGTAAAAAGTACGGAGTCAACCTGGCGCGGTTCACGCATCGGTCTACAAGCGTCGTCTACGCATCTACAAAGGAAGATGGTAAGCACAAGGAAACTGGTAATGCGTTTTTTTTTAGCCCTTGGAGGATACTGATCGCCCCTTTTTCCATTACTTGCCATACATGATAGACACACTTCGGTATCTCTCGCTGCACGACAACAAATACATCAGATACTTTCGCGGACACGAGAAAAGGTACAGGATTTACGATTGGAAATATGGAATACAGGATAATGCAAACTCAGGCTTGGACGAGCTATACTGTAACTGGAGGCGAGACTCACACGATCATTTCCAACCACATATAGGGTCACTTCGTTGGAGATGTCGCCGCTGGATGATCAGTTCTTGGCAGGAAGTCAGGATACAGTACGGTTGTGGGATCTGCGTAGTCCCAACTGCCAGGTAAAAAGACATACACACGATCACCCAGATCGGCGTTGGACCTTGAAGTTGTTTTCCATGTTCTGACCGAGATATCTCACTTTAATTTGATATCATGATATATAGGGTGCGTTGTCGGTGATGGGACAGCCAGTGGTGGCATTTGATCCCAGTGGCCTCGTCTTCGCCGTAGCATTAGGAGGAACCCTCCGCCTCTATGATGTCAAATCCTTCGACCAAGGCCCCTTCGTCACAGCAATGATAGGTGACTCCTTAGGCATCCCACACACAAGCATCTACGCCACCCAGATCGAATTCAGCTCGGACGGGAAAAGCCTCTTGGTCACCACTGGATCGGACGCCCATTACATCGTTGACGCCTACACACCTTCTGTTACAATGTTCAAACTTGTCGGACATAACACTAATACTTTTGGAAATGAGCCGTTTACGAGTGGGAGTGAGGCTTGTTGGACTCCTGACGGGAAGTGTGTTGTCTCGGGATCGCGTGATGGCGATATCTATGTCTGGGATATCTCGAAAGCGATTGCGGACCAGGCTGCGGGGCTTGTGAATGGATCTGCAGGAAATGCCAGTAACTCTACAAACGGAAGTACCGGCAGCCTTTTGCAGAGCAATGGTGAACTGCGGCCCTTCAAGACCCTCAAGGCCCATGGCACCCCGAGCCATATCGTCGCCTTCAACCCCAAGTACCTCATGATGGTCAGCGGTTCCACCGAGCTGGTATGTTTTTACTCACCCGTCTTCCTTTTCAATGTCTAGTTTTGCTGCGCCATCCACTAATCAAGTAACTCTACTGCTGATGGTATTAATAGGCATTCTGGGAGCCAGATCCAAATGCTGCAGTTGTCGATGCCCTTCACGACTTTTCAAAAGGAGGCCGTTACTAGTAGCTTGTTTGTTTTCAATCTTATGTACATTATTACACACTCAAAATGTCTACTCTACGCTAATGATCAAAACTGTTGTTGCTGTAAGAGCTGAAGTTGTTGCTGTTGCTGCTGTTGCTGCTGTTGCTGCATCCCGGGGCTACCTGTACCACCTAGCAAGAAATCAAACTCGGACGGTTGTGGCTGTTGCTGTGGTTGCTGCTGCGCCGGCGTCGTCAGGTACGAATGTTGCTGATATCCGGGCATGGTAGGGATCGATGATGTAACGGGTGTGGTTGATGATGATGTCGCACCAGAGAACGACATTGGTGCCTGTATCGAGCCTGTCATGACCGAGCCAGAAGAAGAGGAAGCGGACGAAGTCCTCGCTCCTGCATGACCGGGACCACCCATCAGGTCGTTGCTAGTCATACTCTGTGACAATGGATGCGTCTTGCTGTTTTGCGCAAGGTTACTATTGTTCATGTTGCCCATATTCATGTTGACATTGTTGGAGTCCATAAATGCGCTTGAGGTAAGATCTGGAATGGGTCCAAACATCTCGTTTGCGGTCTTGAGGCCCGTTGTGCTGCCTGCAGATTCGGAACCCAGGTCCATTCCTGACTGGCCACTGGCTCCACCATTCTGCATGTACAGCATCCACTCGTCATTGTCCATCGACGTAGGGAGACCCCACAGGGACGAAGAGAAGGGGTTCTGGTATGGGTTGGAGCCGAAAGACATGTCCGTCTCAGCGGGGGATGGAGGTAAACCATTATTGGTGACAGTTACCGATCCGGGAGTTCCGAAAGGATCACTGACAGTGTTGCCATTGGTAGACGTATCAGATGCGGCAGAGGTAGGAACAGCACTCATGACCTGATCGCCCATGGCGGGAAAGACAGCACTCGTAGGTGTCGTGCTGGGTCCTGCGGAGGAGTAAGGGGTTGTCGTCGATGTGAATGATCCGCTGGGGGACGGTGACGCATTCTTGCCCTGGCGGGGTCGGCGTGGCAAAGGGGCATGACCCTGAGTCAGGCCAGGGTGAGACTTCATCGAGGACTGGGGTTGGTGATGCCCGCCGGTGGGGCTGAAATAGGGCGTGGGTGAAAAATGACGAGAGTTGCGGCCCATTGGCTCTTTGTGCTTGACTCCATTTCGCTGGTAATATCCCAAAATTTGGTTGACATCGAATGCGAACGATTGCTCCTTGGGAATGGATGCTGCCATTGAGGTATCCTGCGTACTGACACCGATCACCCTCTGCTTGAGATCCTCGACACTACTCAATGGCAAACTCTTGAGGGCTATTCATAGTTGGAAGGCAGCATGAAAGATTGATTAGTAAAACATTTTTTTTTTTTTTTTTTTTTTGGTTACCACTCTAGGTACACAACCATTCCAATCAAGCACAAACTCTGCATACCTTCAGGCGAGCAAGGGAGCATGATATTGCGCGCTTTCAACAGCTGAACAAGGTTGTTCGCACACAATCTCCCGGTAATCCAGACATCCTCCACCATCGCCAGACACTTCAGAGTCTCTATCGTCCGGAGTTTGGCTGACGCAGCCAACACTGGATCCGTGCTGGTGCAGTTGGTGACGTGGACGAGTCCTGCAGTGAAAAAGATGAAAACCGAATTGTGAAGCATGCCCTTGAGTCTCGAAACGCCGCGCTGCGTATCTATTGCTCGCATCATGTTGCTGGCCATCTCGATCGTGTTGTTCGCCGCAGAGGTGCAAATGGACAACGAAATGGAAGGATCGTTGGACGTCTTGTGAGATGATCGGTGGCTGTAGGGTCGGTGGAGCAGAATGAGTACTACGTAGAAGGTCATGTGCAAAGTACAGACAAACGTTCCGGGTTCTTGCTGCACAGATCGAAATTGGAGGTGGGGCGGCAAAGTCAGGAGCCAGTCAGTCAGCTCCTTATCCAGCTGCTCCAAAGGAGCTGGGTTGGTCATGGAGCTTGTCGACAAAGATGACGCCTTAGAGCGAGGGCTGTAAAGGCTGACCATAACTCTTCCCAAGATCCTCATCAGTGAGGCCATGAAAACAAACTTTCGCTCCGAGTAGCGCGAAGGACCGGTCAGCATTGAAGTCGCGCCATCCAGCCTGTACTCCAGCTGAATGTTCTCCTCATCGGCGCCCTCTGGGTAAGTTGCGTCCACGTCGTGTTCATTGATACCCTAGAGAAGTGAATGTAAAAGACTTCAGGTTAGTACCCCGTACGACTCGTTAACAATGACTACCAATCCGGGAAATAGCTCTGCGTGTACCTGGGGGCGGCCGAACGAGGCGGACATAATGCGATCGGCCATAAAGCAAGTCCACCAAATCCTGTTTCGCTCCTCACGATCAATCGCAGACATATGTGGGTTGAGTTTCAGGCAGTCCCGATTGAGTCCAAGATGCTGGGCCATTCGAATCGAAATTCCAACATACATCCATGCTTGGTATCCATTTCCTGTACCCATCTGCTGGAATGCAAGAAGCACCAGGGCGCCAACGCAGTTCATGTCTGGTGAGTCATAGAGAGTATTCAGGATCTCCTTGGCTTTTTCAGCGAAGCCAACTCCGACCGTCTCTGATTTAGCCGGGTCGGTCCTGAAGGAGATATCGTCCGAGTAGCGAGAGGCCAGAGCAAAGATGCTGTTGAGCAGGAACAGGAAAGAAAGGCTGTAGTCACGGTTCTGAAGTCGCTTGAGGAACTTCGACCAGACAAACACAGGCGCAAAGGGGTGGACATAGGTGAAGTGGAGGTTGAGAAGATGGGTCATGACCTCAGGCGAGGGCAAGTCGGGGTTTTCGGTGAACTTTCTAGACTCGGGCTTCTCAGTTTCCTTGGAGCTGTCGGCCGGCATACCGCCATAGTGTCGACGAGCGTAAAACATGGGGGACGATTTGCCGACATAGCGCTCGCAGCCTCGCTGGTCGAGTGTAAGATGTCCCATATCCTCCTCGATGTCGTCTAATTCCTCCTGGACCGGTGGCGTGCTGAGACCTAGAACTGGCAAATTCTCGGAAACGGTGGGGGACTCTGCAAAGTCTCCAACGGACTGGTCGGAGCCGAGAACGGGTGAGGGTGAATCGAAGGAATGGAATGTGTTTTCTCGGATCAAATCCCGATGAAGTGGGCTGGTTTTAGTTGGTTCTGTAGCCTGCTGGATACCCTCCAGAAGAGAGCTGGATCCAAGGTCCGTACTTTGACTTAATTGAAGGCCGAGTATACGATTGGGAAATTGTTGCTGAGATTGAATTTGCTGCTGTTGCTGCTGTTGTTGCTGTTGCTGATGCTGCTGTTGTTGTTGTTGCTGTTGCTGATGCTGATGCTGTTGTTGTTGTTGTTGTTGTTGTTGTTGTTGTTGCTGTTGCATGGGGTTGTTATAATCGTGGAGTGGGGGAGGGTGGTGTTGGTGGACAAGGTTCTGATTGTTTGGGTGTTGTGCGAACTGCTGTCGTTGTTGGAGCTGCTGGAAGATGTCCGATGATGTATCCTTGTAGTTGTCTCTTGAACTACGATTGCGCGGCGTGTGGAGGGCAGCTGGGCCATTCAGTCCAGAGTGGTTCTTGGAGTCGTCCATGGGGTGAGAGAAGGAGCCATCCTCGCGGACCAATCCGCCTACAATAGCCTCCATGCGATGTAACCGGTCCTCGATCGCATTAATGTACCCTATGGTCATTCAAGTGGTACAAGGTTAGATATGAAATGCCATGACTGTCAAAATCCTGAAAATAACCGAGCGGGAAAACATGCCATTGACACTCCACAGCTTGAGCACTTACGGCCTGCACCCTTGGGCGGTCCTCTCTTCTTGGTAGGATCCATGTAGAGGCCTAATTATGGTTCCGAGGATGAAAAAAACAAGATGGTTAGTCCAAAAGGGGGGTTCGTTCAGTCGCAACTCTGACCAGAAGGAGGTAAAAAAGAAAGCGGGATTCGAACGGTCCGGGTTGAGGCATGCAGCAAAAAGCAGTAGCAAGATAAGCCATAATAAGACAAATAGACAGGTAGCTAACTTACATGGTACTCCGAGAAGCTCACAGCTTGAGCAGACATCGCCTTTGGCATCTAGATGGAAAATGAAAAAAGGGCGAGACTTGGGTCAGGTGGGGGGTTATAACAGGAAGGTTGTTTGGCTAGCACAGCAACAAACAACGACTGAGTCGGATTCTTCGGGATTAATGGCCATCGTCGAGGCGAGACCATGTTTCGGTTGAGGCAACTTACCACACTTTATCTTTTTCCTTGGAGAAAGTCGAATCCAGTCCAAGAAGAAACAGAAAAGGAGAAAGAATAAAAAGAAAGATGGATATATATTAGAATGGCGCGCCATTTCCTCAGGTTCCTTTCGGCCTCTTTTACATTTTGTTGCATTGAACCCCAATCGACCGTTGATTCAAATCGATCATAACAACAACAAAAACCATTGATCCAGCTTACTTTCTACAGTTGTCGCAGGCTAGTCAGTGAGTGTGTAAGAATTTGTCAACGATCGGAGAAAGATAACGAGAGAAAAAAAAATATGAGCAAGGTGCGCGTTAGTGCAAAGTCGTTCATGTATCCATTCTAACAATGGAAAAACATGCGAGTAATTGACGAAGATCTCTTTTTTGTTGTTGTTGAAGTTGAAGTTTTGTGTCCTCGATAGGTCGGGCACTTGTTGTGATTTGTGTATTGTTTGTTGCGTTTTAGTAAGCCCTAGCCCTTGGACCTCTTCATCGTGCTGCGCTTACGATGGGGAATGGACAGAGAAGGGCAAAGGCAAAGGCAAAATGATGAAAAAGAGAACGATTTGCGCAGATAGATGGAGCTTGGGCACGGGGAGGGATGTTTATAGTTGGAACGGGCAACACAACAACAACTGTCCCCAGGACTCGATCTGCGGGTACAGAACGATACAAGTGCTCTATGGTCGACTTTGTATTTAGATTTTCTTGACCCTACCTTTCGTGACCCGTTGGCGCTCTTTCTGTTCCTCTTTGGACATGGCGCTTGTGATTACTGTGTTCTTGTTGGTGAGTTGGTTGGTTAGGTCGTTGTTGGTGAGAAGGGTAGGTGTTAAGCTGTGTTCTCCTGCTGTTGTCGGTTGTTGGTTTGTAGGTTTGAGGATTGTGAGTAGGGAGTGGTTTGCAGGGATAAGGAACGAGGATGAGTTGTGGTGGTGTTTCTGATTGAAATGAGGGTGAGTGGTTGTTGATTATGAATGAGCAGAGAAGTAAGAGAAAAAAAAAAGGGATGGTGCTCAGAGCGGTGTGGTTTAAGGAGAGGCACCTAGATGGTGGTGAGTGTGGGGTGAGAGGAGGGGTATGGTAGGGGCAGAGTGTGAAGCAATAAGAGTGATCACTGAGAGGGTGGGAGTGATTGAGAGTGAGGGTGTGAGTGGGGAGAAAATAGAAAGCGTAAGGAAAACAAACAAGAGGGGAGAGAGTTGCGGGTAATGAGGGAGAGAGGAAAAAAGAAAGAGAGAAAGAGAGAGAAGAGAAAAGAGAGAAGAGAGAAGAGAGAAAAGGAGAAACAGTCTGAGGAGATGTTGGCGACAAGAGAGACGAAGGCAAGTTATATGAGAACGAACAAAAAAAAAAAGAAAACAAAACCATACGAAATCGGCGATATGAAGAGAACGAGAGAGGAAAAAAACAAGGTTAGGTAGTCCCTCTGGCTCGTGGATGGCCTTGACCAGATGGACAGATGGACAGGCCAGATGGACAGGCAGTGACGGCGCGAACGAGTGCAAAGAATGAACGAGTGCAAAGAATGAACGAGTGCAAAGAATGAAAGGGTACCCTACACGGCACATCAAAATACTTCGCCTGCTCAATTTGTTCAAAACAGATAGCCACCAGGGCGCCCATCCTGGCGATTTTCATTTTCAGTACCCGCTCACCATCGCTCCACCATGATCACCGCCGTAACCTATTCCCCCCCCTTCCTCCCGGCATCAACCAATGCACTCGCTTCTCCTCTCACCCTACTCGCACACTATTACTATCAGTAAGAATCGCAGCAAAGACACTTTTGTCGACCATCCCTAATCTCCATCCGACTCCCTTGCTATCCAATATCTCCATCGAGTCCCATCATCCTCGTCCCTCTTAACCCACCGCCCTTAACTTCCCTTTGTATGCACGTATTGTACGTACTACGTAGTAGATAGTAGACATTTGCCATGCGACACCCTCGCTATCTTCCACCTTCATACTCCGCTTCGAGGGAACTACACCGTCATGGCCCTTGTCCATTTCATTTCTTACTCACATTTTACACACAGCGTATCGTCATTGTTTCTGACCCGCGCGGAACAATGTCCCTCGCTCGAAAAAGCTTCGACGACAGCCCTCCGGGGCGAAGTTACTTCGTATAAAGTCCTTATGGACAAAACAATAGAAAAATGTCCGTTCATCAAACACAAACACTCCCAATTGACTCCGTGCCATGTGCATGGGTCATGCTTCTTCTGTCCTCCTCTGTCGGATCGCAGAATCGCAAAATATGTTAAAAAAAGAGTGCGTTATTTTATGTGTGCCTGAGATGCCCTTTGGCCCTCGTCCTGTCTATTCTTCCGTCCGCTCTGATGTCCCTTTGCCGCTGACTCAATCCTCTCCCCAGCCAAGCGAATTAAGTTAAGTTCCGACAATTGTCTGAATCCGGTTCACCGAAGACCCTTTCCCTTTTCGTTCCCTCTGTTAGTTATCGTCGGTTTGTCCTTTTCGTGCTTCTCGCTCCCATTGACCCCAAAAATGAAACCTTGTTCCCAATTCAAACCATCTTTCGTTTCTCCACCATTGACGTTTGTATGCGCGACTTTTTTTTTGTATCTTGTGTGGGTGAATACACACCCACAGTATTTCCCATGAAGAAAATTGAAGGAGAAGGTAATTGCTCAATTGCTCCGATGCGCAAACACGAGAGTCTTTCAGTTTTACCTGGAAGAGTACAGATCACCCTTTGTCGCCGTCATTGCGAAGCTGCACCTTCACCTTCACCTTGAGTCTAGCCCCTCAACACTGACGCTTACCCCACACACCAACCCACTATCACCAACAACAGCACACAACTATGCAACAGCGATATCACCCCTCAAGCGCATGGAGCAACCAGACACCCCCCCTCAGACAGGAAACAAAAACCTGGACAACCACAACAAGAAACTCCACCGGCAAACCATTAACAGAATCACTGACGAGTTTATTATTTTGCCGAACGGACCGCGAAGCCAGGGTAAGGCAACAGATTCTGGAGCAGAAGCTCGAGATGGCGGCACGACGCAAGGCGGAGGCAGAGAGGCGCACGAAGGCAAAGGAGGCGGTAGAGGCAGCACCCACACTCAAGCAGAAATTCAAATGGCAAGTTAAGACACGCAGGAAGGAGATGGCAGAGGAGGCCTACCAGCTCCTACCGGACATCATAACAATAATACAACAACAAGCAACACACCAATTCACAAGTGCAATCACATTATCATGAACCCAGGAGCGCAGGAGCCCATAGTGAGCTGCAGGGAAGAGTCTAGGCCTGGACCGGGACACATTTACTCCAATGGTTCAATGGTGGGAAAGGAGAAGGAGACGTGCGCCATGGCCTTTGCTTTCGTGGGGGAGGAGCAGACAGTGGTGAAGGGGACCGCCAGGGAATTTGTATCGGCAAAAGCGGAACTAATAGGATTGATCGCAGGGATCATCGCAACACCTCAGGACCAGGACCTCTTGATCCGACTCGACAACCAAGCGGTGGTGAAACAGTTCAGAGAGGTCGTTGTCAATCGAAAGCGAGCGTCAGTGGGAGCAAAACCGAGGTTCAATTGCGCTGCAGAATGGGCGGTGGTCGCACGGATATGCAGCGAGCGCACGGGGTCAACAACAGTCGAGTGGATCAAGGGCCACAGCGGAAACGAATGGAAAAGAAAGGCAGATATGGCAGCAAAGGAGGCGCAATCACAAGGGGGAACGACATGGAAAGTGGACAGAGCCGCCCAGGACGACATCAAGTACTCGGCGACGATGGCCGGCGTGATTCTCGATCAGGACACGAGACGCGTGCTCAAGATTCAGGCCGCTAGACGCTGGCACCAGGAGTGGAGGACACTCAGGGAGACCAAGAGATCGATTCAAGACTAAGAGGGCACAGACTGGCTTGGCACCCTTCCAATCATACAGAGCAACAAACCAGCCAACGCCTTTGTCAGTTCACAGCAAGATACGCGCTTACGCAGCCATAGGATAAAGAAGGACAGGAATGTTGCCTACCCTGGACGCGTTACGCGCCAAGCGTCTAGGCCTGTACAAGGACGACTTATGCCGACATTGTGGTCTAGAAACGGAGGTTAATGAGCACAGCTGGACGTGCTCCAAGAGCAAGGAGATGCAGGAGTAGTTGTGAGAGGATGTCCTTGACCGAGTCGACGGATAGGGAGTGATCGCCACATGATAGTTCAACAGACAGCGACAGAAGCATCTCAAGCCAGCAAAGCAGTCACCCACCGAGATCGTACGGAGGATACCAAGAACCATCATGATCTTCAAAGCGCTGTGGCAGGTGATCAAGCGGCCAGGCGAGGAGGAACGGAGCCCGACCGCGTGGACAGTCAGCCACATCTACCGAGGTCTAGTGCCGAAAGCCTTAGCTACGCAATAGGGCAAGGTGTTCAAGGACGTACTAGAGAGCACGTGAGCCGTGTGTTTTGCCGATATATAGGAAAGGAGGTCAGGGAGCAGTCATGGAAGCCACGTTATGAAAGGACCATCAGGTGGGAGGAGGAGAATAACATCACCGGCAGCATGAAGCGCACACGCACAACCAAGGACCAGAGGGCACAGTGGACACAAATCTACAGGTGGTAATAGATCTACGGGCGGAAACTCCGAGAGGACTAGTGCCTTTGCAGATGAGCCGTAGCAGAACACAGTGCTCAGGCAAGCAGAGCGATACTTGAGTGACTGATCGAGCAGTCATCGACACCCTGTTGGGCCTGAAGCGCATGGATATTATGGAAAGGAGAGGCAACATGGCCATCAAGTAGTTGGAGGAGGAACACACCTAGATCCCTTGAATGCGTCCTACAAAGCGACAAAGATCATCCGGACTCGCAGGCGTCGTTCCCGACCCGGTGACGACGGATGTACAATCTTCATGTGCGCCGTACGGTTTACTTTAATTGGATAAAATTGATGTGTCGTCATGGACGAGCATTTTTTACCTTGCACACCCCCACTTAAGTCTAGCCCTTGTTTAAGTTAGGATAGGTGGACTATCAAGCATTCATGGCTGCTGTTGTGAGTTGCGCCCGTCTGGTCGAAAGCACTTGCAGGTTGAAGTTGAAGCAGTCAATTAGAAAACTAAAAAATTTGATCTGTAGTTCTCGACATGTAATTGACTATTGATCACCGTTCAGTCGTCCACTCTATCGGTCTCGCCGATGCACTCAGCCCTTGAAGATGCGCCGATATTTTCACATCGAGCTAGCATCTAACATTCTTGAAGGGCCTTTAGTTCGATCCATCGTTCCTGCATTGGCCATGTGCGCCTTTTCGTCATCCAACCACAGTGGCAAGGAAGTATGCCAAGCACAGTACGCCAAATAAAACTTGCGGAAAATAGAACCGTGAGTTCAATTCCAGGTTGGTAGTTTGTGCGATTGCGTTTTTAACATGGGAAGGGAGGAGGAGAAGGGGGGGGGCATGGTAAAAGTACCTATATGGGACCGAAGGCAACAAGGGATTGGCACCCTCCCAAGAGATTGTTCTGATCTACTTGGGGTTACCAGCCTAACCAGGATGACGAGGAGATTTACGGACTGTCCCAATCACTCGGAAGTTATCAGGGGCATGCTCCCATACTCCAAGCCATACGGTCGCCGGGGGGATTATTGAGAGATGGGGACAACTAATTCCAGGAAAAGAGAGACATTTATGTCGGACCGAAACATCAAGTTGAACGGAACCATGGGGTAACAAGCCAGATACACACCAAACGCCCCTTAAAAATACGAATAATCTGACAAAGACTAGGCTTCCACGGCCTCCTTTAGGACGCCCGTTCGTGCTTTGGCCTTCTTTCCTCTCCTTCCTTGGCTACAACACGCATCCTGCCCCCCCCCCCAACATCTGACAATCTTCTATTCCTTCATTGTTATCGCATCACAAACCGTTACACATGTGCCCAACTATCTTCTATGCAAAACAAAAAAGAGAATATGGATAGGGCATGACAAAGGAAAAATACAATCGGGATATTTCCTGCACTATAAACGCACGCATCACCAAGAGAGGGCAGATCGGTCTTGTGCGTCCATGGGCAACTGTACGACATTTTTACATCATTCCCATGGTTCCACCCTACCATGCACCTTGCTTTTGCTCAACAACCCTTGTCAGTACGCTATGTGTTTCGATAAACACAAGTTTCAACAAGACAAGCAACAGCAGAAGATGAAAAGGGGGCACTAAGGGGGAGAAAATAATGACATATGCTCAGTTGTGGAGGGAACTTGTTGTAATCCTTTGTGATGTCGTGCGTTTCTTGGCAGCTCCTCCAAACTACTTCTATTCACATGGGATTCTGTCAGAATGGGGTCATGGTCAGGAAGAAATCTGAAGCACGGCCATTTCTTCATTGTTATTTATAGGCTGGAGCTTTTTGGACACTACCCACTTGCCTTTGTTCTACAGGTCAATTCCACACTCATCTCCTCTTTGTTGCCTGAGACATCCTTCTTTCTTTCTTTTCTCTCTTTCCTTTGAAAGCAACGTTATAAATCACCAATCGATCCCCAACGACAACGACTTTTTAAACAACAATGCCGCCAGAGCTCAAAGATCCCAAGAATGGCCCCATCATCGCGCCAGTCCCCCACAAACCCTCGCCTTTGATGGGCCTCCATGAACAACAGCAGGAACAACGACAACCTGACCAGTCCTTTTATTACAAGCGCCCTTCCTTCTTTAACCGAATCTACCTCTCCGGCGTCATCCACCGGCCGAGCGACCTCCTCTTCCTTGGCCATGGCCTCATATCCGTCCTCTGGACACTGGTTTGCCTCCTCATCGTCGATCTGCCCTTCCTGGTCACCACGCGTTTCCGCATTAACTCAGAGCGTCATCCAGTCAGCTGGGGTGCATTCTATTCATTCTGCATGTCGTTGAGTAGAGCATGCTCCAGTTCTGTGCACAATGTCGCACAGCTGCGGCTGGTGAGCAATATTATCGCCTGGTTCGTCCCCCTCCGAATGCTGCATCTGTCGTCCAACAGCTACTCTGTCAAGTCCAATGTACAGATCAAGGTTCATCTGAACACTTTGCTTGAACCTGAACGCAAGACCTTGGCCCCAACACGAGCTCGACTCAACCTTGACAACTCTTTCGACGGCATTCATCGCAACCCTGTCAACCCATCCCCCGAATACCTCGCCTCCTTCCTGCCAGACAACCGACTTGCTAATCTCCCAGAAGAGTCAGGGGACTTGGACCAAGATGGGATGTACACATTGAGGGGAGAGTGGATCGAGGCCCTAACTGATCCAAATGAGGAGGGTCGAGGAGGAGCAGCAAGACGAGGACCAAGGAGCAATGTTGTTGTTTTGTACTGTCACGGAGGCGGACATGTGTTTTGCTCGGCTACTTTCCACCGCCAAGTCGTAACAAGAATGCTTTTGGAGGTGTGTTTTTTTCTCGTTTTTGCATTTTAGCACTCGCGAGGTTACATGAACAGTGATTTTTTTCCTGGCCAATTCACTCACTGCCTCTTTGTTTATATATATTAGATCGGTCCCGGCGCAAGAGCATTCGTGGTCGACTACCGTCTCGCGCCAGAAGATCCCTTCCCAGCCGCAGTCCACGACATGTATGCTGCATATCTCTACCTCACCCAGCCCGATCACCCAGCCATCACACTCTGCACCAATGGTTCTTTGTCCACCAATAGCCCACACCACCATGTAGCAACGCCGGTCCTTCCAAAGGATATTGTCCTTGCAGGCGATTCTGCCGGTGCTGGTGTTGCCATTGCTTTCCAGCTGTACATGAGAGATTATGTGCAACCATCCGTTGAACCCAAGTTTGAGATGCCTCCCGTCACTGTCTTGATCTCTGTAAGATTATTTTTTTGTTGAACAAAACTCTTGCCAGCGAAACACGATTTTGGAATCCCGCTGGCCAGAAGAAATTGCTAATTTTCATTTCATAACGATAGGCATGGACGGATATCTCGACTTCGATGCCTTCAGCCACCAGTAAACACAGCTATTGCTACACACCCTCCCCGATGGGTGTCAACCCATTTGTCGACGAAGCCACCTTTTACGCGTTCCCCAAGGTACTTTTCTTTTTTTGTTTGTTGTGGCGATTGTCTGCTTTTATCGTTTTTTTTTCTAATCTCTGTTCTGTATTGGATTCAAAATAGTTCAACTTTGCGAGGACATACCTCTGTGGCGACTCCAAGCTGGCTCCTAACGAGCGAAACTGTAGAGGACGGCACATGGTTTGGGAATGGTACAGGCACCTGGCTCAACATCCCTTGGTCTCACCCGTCTACACCGCCGATCTTTCTGGACTTGGCGGCGCAACTCTGCTGGTATGCCCTTTTCTTTTCTCATTCAACTTTCAATGAACGAAAAAATAAGATGCCATATCCTAACTCGCTGATGAAATCTTTGCCCCCCTGAAAACAGCAAACCGGTGCGTTTGACAGACTGGCAGACGACACCCGCCTTTATGCCCACAAGCTAGGACAAGCCAACCTCGACCAACGCGTACGCCTAGAACTCTACCGGGACATGGTCCACGTCCACCAGTTCTTTGAGTTCTTGCCCATGGCCGACAAGGCCCTTCACACCATGACTGAGTTCATCTACGACAGTCAGGACAAATACAACAGCGAACAAGCAGCACAGCAGTTGTCAAGACCGAGGCGCAAGGTTAATGACAAGTACGGGAACAATATCAGCTATGGATCTGGAGAAGGAAAGAAGGGAGCAAGGAGAGGGACAGAGTGGATTGTGGTGGAAACTGACGGAACTGAGTTGGAGGGCCATGATGACGACGGGTGTCCTATCTCTGTGCTTGAGGAGTGCTGGAACCCCGAGATGAGAGAGAAGGCGGCGGCAAATGCGTAGCGGAAGGGACTGGGAGGGTCTAGTCTAATGGAGGGCCGTGGTTGCTTTGATGTTGTGTATGGAAATGGTGTAATAGATGTACCCTGTATCGAACTAAAGATTTACAATTCAACGGATAAATAAAAGCGCTTATGAAAAAAAAAAATGCACACGATTCAGGGGGAGAGTCCTGTCCTTTTTGCACATGCTGATGCACTTTTTACGTCTTGCTGCTAAGATGCCAACATACTCATGATTGGATGTTGTAGAGTTTTGGGTGCAGAAGACGATGGCGAATTGTCCAGTGGCGATGAAGTAGGTGTTGAGGTCTGGATTCAGTCAAAGGAATAAAAAAAGATAGCGCCACCATTTTCTGGATCCAAAAGTGGAGATCAGTTACCACGCAACTATAGAACTCCGCCATGGTTCGCGTCGCGCAGAGTGAAAGTGTCTTTCCCCACAACATTATTGACAGAGTTTTTTGTTTACATGTTTATGTGAACAACTTCCGCTCTCTCTCTCTCTCTCTCTTGCAGCCGAGATCATTGTCCACCAACAAGCAGCAATGACAAAAATAATCCCCGTTGTCCTACATCTCCTCACCCCTGTTAACAATCAACGGGCATAAACACACGCACATGCCAACCCACACTACTTTTCCCTTTGTTTCCAACCAAGCACGCGTGCGCCTTTTTTAATCTTTTATTGCATCATACATTCACCTGAAAAACATATTAATGGCCCTTGCGTACAATCTTGCTCCATTATCTTTTCACCCTCAAAAGCCGACACTTTTCCCACACTTCCTTCTCTTCCCCTCTCAATCCTCCACTTCCTTGAGGAACCACACACACCCACGAAAAAAATGGGCAAACCAAATCGCCTTCAGACCCTCTACTCCAGATCGGGGACAGATGTACCCCTCGGGGAAAAGTCTCCCGCCATCCACGTCGCCAATGGCGCCTTCAACCCACAACAGAAACCTGATATCAACCAGAACGGAAACCCACCACCATACCAACGCCAGTTCCCCCGACCTTCGATCTTTCAAAGAGCACTCCTGAAGGGAATCCCCCACCGCCCGAGCGACATCTTCTTCATCTTCCGAGTCCTCACCGCCGCACTCTGGGCAGTCATCCGACTCCACTGCTTCGAACTGCCCTACCATTTCCTGACTCGATTCAAGAAGTCTTCCAAGCAGTATCCGGCCGAGTGGACCTGGTGGAGCAGTCTTTTCTTCTCTGTCCTCCGCGCCTGCGGATCCAAAGTCAGCACCATGGCTCAGGTCCGGTTTGTCGGGCACTTCATTGAGCATATGATACAGATCGAGAACTATTTTATCAAGAATGTCAAGATCACTCGTGGAGTTCAGTTCAAGGTCAATCGAGGGATCCTGTTGAGACCTGAGCGGGCTACACTGGCTGTGGTCCGCGAGGAGCTGAGACGGAAAGGGTTCTCGGACGATCCGTTGAACCCGAGCGAGGCCTTCTTCAAGTCCCTCCATCCTGAAGGTGGTCCCAATGCTCGTGTTGCCAATATGCCCGAGGAGGTTGGGTCGATTAGTGACGATGGCACCTACACGCTCAAGGGTGAATGGATCGAGGCCCTGGACGATCCCAAGAACCCAGACCTACGACCGCGCAGCAAGACTGTGATCCTCTACTTCCATGGTGGAGCCCATGTATTCTGCTCGCCCAAGACTCATACCCATATGCTTGCACGACTCTGCAAGGCCGTGGGGCCCGGAACACGTGCCTTCAGTCTGGACTATCGTCTTGCCCCCGAGAGCCCTTTCCCTGCAGCTATCCATGATGCCTTTGCGGCCTACCTGTACCTGACCGAGCCAGATCATGCAGCATTGACGTTGGATGAGGAATCTGCAGTGCACGAGTTGGCTGTCGATCCTCGCGATTTGGTTGTTGGTGGCGACTCTGCTGGTGGTAACCTGGCGGCTACGTTTATGCTGTACATGGCGCGATATGTCCAGCCCTCGACCAAGCCCAAGTTTGTCCTTCCCCACGCCGCATTGTTGTTGTCTGTATGTTGTTGTTGTCTGTTGTCTTTTTTCTTTTGTATAAAACTTTTGCTCCCGTTTTCTTAACGAGGATCGCGTTCGCATTCTTGTCCTCCTACATTATCACATATGTAGCCATGGACAGATCTTTCATCGTCAGTCCCGGCGGCCAAGAACGTAGACTGGTACAGCTACTTCCCCGGCCCCGTCGGTATCTCGCCTCTGGACAAGAACGCTTACGTTTCCTTCAAAGAGGTAACATACCTTTGCGTGTTTGTTTCGATAACGCAAATGACAACCAATGTCGTCATTTTTTTACTGACGTGTTTTTGTTTTCTTGATTCGCAGAACTACGCGGGTTATTACCTGTGCGGTGAGCCTGACTTAATGCTGAATGCTCGCAATGGTTTCGGGGTCGACCGTCGTTGGGAATGGTACTCCCACCTTGTTCAACACCCACTCGTCTCTGCAGCCCATTCTGTCGAGGGTACCATGGCAGGCCTCACCAATACTCTTGTCGTAAGTAATTGTTCCTCCTGTGTATTTTCAGCATTTCTTGTAAACCCTTATGTCTTTCAACACATATGCAACTTCACTTGCAACCTCTATATTAGCACACGGCGACGCACGATCGTCTAGTCGACGATTCACGACTCTACGCCCACCGTCTGGGTCTCGAGAACCCAGGCCGCCTGACAAGAATCGAGATCTACAAGGACATGGTTCATGTCCACCAAGTCCTCCCTCTGCTCTTCAAGTCTGCCCAAATCGCGATCAACAACTTGGCCCGGTTCATCGAGCGATCTCGCTATATTCGTGATGAGCACGAGCGTTCATCTGGCAATGGCTCTACGACGCAGTTGAAATCGTCCTCTCCCGTCACGCCCACACGGACTTTTGCGGCTGTCCTGCGTAAAGTCCCTGTCCGTGAGTCGCCCGCCAACCAGGGAGAAGAAGAGGAAGAGGTAGCCAAGGATGTGAAGGTGGTGGTTGTCCCTGCATTTATGCAACCTACGATGGTGCGTGGTAAATCTGCAGGAGATGGTGTCGAGTGGGTGGTTGTTGAGCAGAACGGTCGTGAGACTGCGGGAGATGAGGGTACTGCGATTGACATTCTGATCAACGCATGGCCCTTGAGAACTCAGAACACGAAAGAAGAGTGAAGGGGAGAGATCGAGAGGACAGCTAAGGAGAGCATGTAAATAGCAAAACATTATGGCATTGAGGGAATATATGAAATGAAGGTGTGTACAGTGTATCTCGAATGTCATTGTCTCTCATTGCACCTAGCTTGTTGCTCATCATGTAGTGGCAGAGTCGGTTGTGACAACAGGAGTTCCTACTCCTTCTCCGTACTACTTTGACTTTAAACACGGAGACTTGAAATCGTAAGAGCTACTGAAAGTTGAGCCCATTTATCCTTCTATCAACTCCGTGTTTAACAATGGTTCGAACGTTCGAGGTTTGCCACTTGCTGGGACAAGCAGCCTCTTTTATATTTGTTCCCTCGCCGTCGACCAGGCACTGTTGTCAAGAACAAGTCTCTCAGGTCATGGTTTTTTCAATGGTTATTGATCCGATTGCTTGTTGTCCGGCAAGTTGTTCCTTCTTATTATTATCCTCTGCTCTCTCTCTTCAGCATCCCATTGTTTGACCTGCTGGATGTCCTTGCATCATCACCATCCTCTCCTCCTCTTCAACCCTTCCATCCGCTTTCCATCGCCCCTCCTCTTCCTGTGCCACAAAGACCCTTGCAAACCACTGAATCAGCACTGCCTTTTTCTCAATTTCGAAATTCAACTTCAGCTGGGCGTAGTCACAACGTCCTTTTCTTCCGCCAGGGAAACGAATGGTGCCTCCACTTCGTCGCAATGACTTTTGTCCATGCACTTCATCGTCGACCCCTCTTCGACATGCCTCACATCCACAATGCCAATCAACAGCCTCACTCAATACCGGCCATAACACCACCTCAGGGCCAGTAACGGCAACAAAGCGGTTTCTCGCAGTAGGATGGGTGTGCCTGACTATTATCATATCAACTCTATGGCTCACCGTCCCCACCCACGCCCTTCCTACTACTTCCAACAACCATGTGTCACCACCACAACCCCTCCTGATCCCACTCCGACGCCTCATCTCCAACCACCCACCATCCTCAACATCCTTCAAAAAAATAAAACGCTCGGGAACAACACCCATCTCGGTCACAACAATCGGGCAAGTAGGCTACGCAGGACACATCCTCATTGGCACCCCACCCCAACGACTCTCGGTCCTGTTCGATACCGGGTCCGATTTGGCACTTGTCATTTCAGACCAGTGTCAGGGATTGGAGTGTCCAGAGCTGACACACTTTTCGTGTTCTAATTCTGCGAGTTGTGCGGATCTGGGTGGGGGTGGGGAGGTTGGGGCGAGTGCGAGGCCGACTGTTGTTGTTGAGACTAAGCTTACTACGACAAACTCATCGCCGCCACGACCACCAGCGAAGCCGGAAGCGGCGGTAGGAGGAGGTGATGTGACGGCGCTCCCGCCTGTGGTTTCATCTACTCTGCAGGAGCATGAACGTGAGAGGAATGGTGGGGCTGGTGTGATGGCAGAGTCGAGTCGGCCGACGAGTCATGACGGACAGGAGCAGTGGCAACAAGTGCACTCAAAAACACATCATCACCAGCAACAACGGCGCAACAACATGGGCCATGATAATGGAGACTCTTCCACCTTGCTGGAAAGACTGCGATCCTCCAAGACACTACCACCTTCACAACCACAACCACCGGCTGCTGATGTCAACGACGAGCCTATGGCCACCAGCGACGGCAATCCCCCAATGGTGGCAGCTCGTCTGATCGGACCTGGAGCATTCAAGATCGAAGACAGTCTACAACCCCTCCACCATGATACCCCAAACCCTGCATTCTCTATCGAAAAAGTCCACAGCGCTGCAGCCTCCGTCGTTGATCCAGTACCACCGCCTCCATCACCGCCACTCTCCAACTTTTACAACCAGACCTATGTCGACGGATCTTGGGGTGCCGGCGCGTTTGTCCGGGACCGGATCCAAGTCGACACAACCCCACCGGGCGTGGTCTTTAACCCTTACCACCACATGAACGACGACGGTTCCTTTGAATCCTCCTCAACTGGCGATGTCGCCACCGTCACTTTCCTAAATGTCGTCCAGGACAACCTGGGACTTGTCAAGGGCTACGACGGGCAGATCTCGGGTCTTTTGGGTCTTACACGCGCCTCCCCCACCGGTCGGAAGACCTTTTTGCAGGAATTGGTTGATCAAGGGTCGCTTGCTCAACCGGTGGTTTCGATGCATTTGGACGCCGAGGGGGGCAGTTTCTTGTTGGGCGGGATTGATTCTTCACAGTACTCTGGGCAATTGGTCTACAGCCCTGTCACCGACCCGGTCACCTGGCAGATGTCCCTCCAGGGTCTGGGGGTCCGGTATAGGGACGGGCATTACAGCGCCATCTCACAGCCTTCAGTCCCCATCATCAACTCTGCAGGAACCAACAATCCTTCAGGACCATCAATCACTCCCCTACCTCCGTCCGACACCAACCCAACCTCCACCGCCGGGATATACAAAGTCCTCCCACAACTCAACATCTTCCAAGACGCACCCCTGATTCTCGACAGCGGAACCTCGTCCATCCTCATCCCCTCCGACGCTTCACAAGCAATCCACAGCGAGCTCTCAGGGACATGGGACCCAACCCACCGAGCCTGGTTCCTCCCCTGTCAAGGACCCGATCTGATCTGGTGGGTCTCGTCTGGTCAACATGGTATCATCCAGCCATATGAGTCTCTCATCTACCCCCTGGAGGATGGTCGGTGTCAGAGTCTGATCTTTGAGAACCCGGACGCCAACTATTGGATTCTGGGGGATACTTGGCTGCGAGGGTTGTATGTGGTGTATGATATGGAGGGTGCTGGACAGATCGGGATCGCCACTGCTAAGAGTGCCAACGCGACTGGTAGTGTGGGTGATAGTGGTGAGGCGAGGATTCTCACGGTGAGGGATTCTAGTCCGGCCAGGAGGTTGAGGTTATCTTTATGGGGTAGATCGGCATCTAATATAGGGTTGATGTTGATGGTGGTGGTGTATGCGCTTATTGGCGCTCTACCATAATACTCTTATATTCATTCATTTTATCTATCTCAGCATCTTAACATTCATTCCCTCATCTAAAACAGCATTCTTAATTGTCGCTCAGTAAAAGTTGATATAATGTATCACAGATATGGCGTAAAACAGAGATATATGAAGATCAGTTGACGATCCAACATCTAACGATCCGAAGACGAGTGGTTGAAAGACCCATCGAGGGTTGAAGCCCCACGGCGAAGTTGAAGACTCCTGAGAACACTAGGACTCTGCGAGTGTGTCGGGAAAAACTGGAGCACCTGCTCTGGCGATATCAGTTTGGGTGCTGGAGGGGGTTGACGGAGCCCGTAGCTGTCGTCGAGATCCTTGCGGGTTCGTTTCCGAGGTGGGGTGTGAAATGATGCGGATGAGCTCTCTGAGGGACTGGAAGGAAGTCCTCCAAGGTGTCGTAGGTTTAGGTTGTGCGGTTTTAACATCCCGCTCCAGTTACTGCTACTGCTACTACTACTGCTACCTATGCCATTGTCACCGCTTTCTGCGATTTGTTCCTGTTGGCTTTTGGAGAGTGAATCCAAGGTGCGACTGTCGTCTTTAGATGCATCATCATCCTGATCTGATCCCGCGACATCTTCTTCATCCCCCTCGCCGTCGTCCTCGACCACTTCTCTATCATCGCAGCCACTGTCCCGGAATGTCGGAGAAGTTGGGCTCATGAAGCGTCCTCCGGGTATCTTGGAAGGTCTCCGTTTGGGTGTCGAAGGATCCGATTCGATGTGACTCTTTCCAAAAGGCCACTGCGTATCGTCGCTCACATCACCCTCGTCATCTTCATCCGCTTCCCTATCGTCCTCGTCGCCATCATCATTGCCATGATCTTCTTCCACCGTTACTGCATCCTCACCACTCAGCTTAGGCAGCTTCATCGTCGACTGCTTCATCATAATATCAAACTTCCACCGACCAAACTGCGATCTTGGTGTCACCGGCGACCTGAACCCACTGCCACTCCTCGATACATCCCCCACGTCGTCATCATCCTCATCTCCATCCTCATCAGCATCCTCGACTTCTCTCCGGGCCACATTATTATTATGATCCAACTCAACAAGTGCATCGTCCTGCGTCCGCCGGGATCGCGTCACCCTTCCTCGAGAGAACAGATCACCGATCCAGTTGTTGGCCTCTCCATGTCTCGGCCGTGTGGGTGTAGTGCAATTGAGTCCTGATTCCTTGTATCCTCCTCCTTGTCTCCGGACATTGATCATTCTAGGCGAGAAGACCAAAAACGGACTGTCGGTTACTGTTGCTTCGTCATCCTCCTCTGTAGTCTCCACTGCCGCAAATGTGGGAGATCCAGGCGCGTGAGTTTCGTCCGCATTGTCTTTGCCTCCTTCCTCAGTCACCTCCTCCTCTCCTTCCTCCTGCTGCTGCTGCTGCTGCTGGCGTTGCGGCCTCGAGCCACTCGGACCACCAGAACTGGAATCAGCATCCATGACCATCGTGCGCGGCGAAGTTGTGATCCTGGAAAGCGCCTTCCTCTGCTTTGCTGAACTTGATGGGGATATAGGTTGCTGAGCAGTATCTATACTCCTACTCAGGTCAGGCTGGTGGCGTTGGGTGTCAACCAGAGTCAAAAGTGACCTCTCACGGCTCCGAGTTGGAGTAGTTGCCATTATGAGTTGTTGGGTTTCTTGGCTTGTTTGTTTTGTGGAAAGGCAGGCTTGAACGGTGATGTTGGTGGTTGTTTTTGGACGAATAGACAAAGTGAATGTAGGTGGTTGAAATGAGGATGGCGATTCGATTGCATTCGCATTCTTTGTATTGTGGAGATAAAAAACGACGCACGTGACCATCAGTAAACGTTCGCATGGTGTATCTTTCACCTATCTCCTTGCCACCAGCTCCCTTGAAACTGTGAGGAGGCAGACGTACTCAACACTACACTGTAAGCCAAGAATGTCGCATCCAGAAGTTCTTGTATAGCAGCATGCCGAAGATAACCGCGAGGATGTAGAGGAACGCAAGGGGATAGGCGCTGTAATTGCCTGGACCGCCTTTTATCCCGTCGATTGTCAAGAAATCAACGCTGGGATATGGCCAGAATCCAAAGAAAAAAAAATTGCAGTCACCACCACGATTTATGCTCAAACCTTCGTTCATTATTTTCTTCACTTTCCACACTTTTTTGTTACAATGACCACTGTTCAACTACTCGAAACCATCCTCTATGACCCCAAAGGTATAAATAAACCGCCGTTGCATTTCACAACTGGACCTTGACTTGCGCGAGCTCATTGTTCGTCTCATTACACTACCGCTATGTCACGCTGCGAAGTATTTTCTCACGCATATTCACACATATACTTTTCTTTCCTTCCTTTGTATCAACCAATTGATCCAAAAAAAAACACAGAGGGAGTGTTCCTGCTGGACTACCACTGCGACCGGATGATTGCATCCGCAAAGGAACTGGCAGTCTTCTTTTCCAACAACCAGGAGGCGTTCCTGCAGGACCTGATCCCTACGCGCTCCGAGATCTCAAACAAGCTGGATGCTGCTATCAGGAACGCCGGCAAGGATACTCGTCAACGAGTAAGGCCTTCGTACACACCCAATGCGCACTCTGTAGAGTTTACTTTGCAGAGTGTTAACCGCCAATTGCAACAGGAGAAAAATAGAGACGGAGACGGTACTGACCGATGTGTCTTTGTTGTTCCCATTTCAATTGATATTTTTCTTAGTTGAGAGTATTGCTGGACTTTGATGGTGCTATCTCTATCCAGTCGAGCCACTTGCGTTCAGAGACCAAGAGTTTTAAACGTAATGGGCGGGACCAGCTGCCGAAGGAAAAAGTCGTTTCAGCGTTCTCATGTCTGCCTGTCAGCACCACACACCCAGCAGCAAAAGCTCGCACCAATCCCCCACGCGCATACCTCTTAGTCCTTGTTATTACTCTGTTGTGGACATTGGTGGGGACGGAAAGGGCAGAAAATGGGGCATCCGAATCGAATGCGGTCTGGCCCGGTATATTTGTGGACATCTCTTTCATCCATGTCTCAGCCCTATTAACCCCCCCTTCATTGTTGTGATACTGCCGCCTGTTGTTGTTTTTTAGATTCTTCGATCCTGGTGGTCTTGGACAAGCAGGCGACACACAGCGACAACATGTTTTTAAAGCACAAAACCACAGAGCGAGAAGTCTACAATGAAGCCAGGACGCGACTAGGTAAGAAGAGTAAGCGTGACTGGTTGTCGGGGATGTAGTTGGTCTTTGATGGTCACGTCTAACGATGTATGTTCGATAAAACCACGATTAGGACTAGGACCTGTGGGCGCTCCAATGGGCGACAATGTACCGTTCGATGTGATTATGTACAACGAGCAGGACGAGGTCATGGAGGCAACGATCGCCAATATCGCCATCGAAGTCGAGAACCCCGAGTCAGGAGCCCTGGAATGGATCACCCCACCATTGTCTTCCGGTACACCAGCGCATTTTTTTGGCACTTTCTTCAGTGGTGATGAATCCGAGTGTTTACGCCTGTGCAATATTAATCTTTCTGATGACTCTCTGTTTCACCCCTAGGATTGTTAAATGGAACGATGCGCCGCAAATTGCTGGAGGCTGGAGAGCTGAAAGAACGAGTGATCACTGTGTCTGAACTCAAGAAGGCTGCAGCGGTATGTCCCAGGATCTTTTCTGGTTCTCTCACTTTTATTTTCATTGGCGCATACATGGGTGTTTGTCCTGAGCTCATTAATTTCTGAACATGTTTATGATCTGTTTCTTTGCATGTTGTAGGAGGGCCGGAGGATAAAGTGCTTCAACTCTGTGCGAAAAGAGTATCCCGTCACTCTCAAGTGCTGATAACATGGGTCTTCAAGCCTTTGTCAAGTCAAGTGGTATCCTATCAAGTCGCACGCCTTTTAAATCAAGTCAAGCCCAGTCGACCTCAAACCTCTCAATACAACTATTAGCAACTGAAAGCGCATACCGACTTGTAATTGGAAAAAATAGATGTATATTTTGCCTTGAGAAGACACGCTGCTAGACGTGGAATGATCCAGAATGTACACTTTCCGCCTCTTTCTCCCATCCCACTCCGATTTACTCGTAAAGGAAGACGACCAGTCCAACACCTCCGAGGAGGGCATACTTCAAGAGTGGATAATCGGTCATGAAGATGGTGAACATGCCGAGGTAGGGCAAGAAACCTTGGACGCGTCCGACAACATCCTTGGGCTCGATCCACATCTTGCCTCTGTTAATGTACAACTCCTGATAGATTCCTCTGTCGTCGACATTGTTGTTATCGCCCTTTGTCAACAACAACTGGTTTCCTGTTTCTGGCCTAATAGGGGCAATCACGAAAAGTTGTTAGATGTGTGCAATTGACAGCGATGAAACACGATCCGACGAAGAGAAGGTAAAGCACATGGTAGAAAGACAATGAAGCAAGACGTACGAGTCGTGGCGATCGATGACACGGTGGACGATAGGGATATCGCGTCCTGGGATTTTGAAAACACAGATCTCGCCAATGTCGACGGCCTTCTTGGGGTTGCTCAAAAACAAGATATCTCCTCTTGCGAATGCGGGTTCCATACTTTCACTAGACAATGGTAGAAAAAGAGGTGTGTTGTCAAATCAAGGGTTAGCTACGTGGCAGGTTTGGAAAGGGACTGTTGGAAGAATTTGAAAGAAGGGGGGCTACCGAGGTGGGGAAGCGACGTGAGAAAAAGTACCTCAGGACGACGACGAGGGGGGATTCGCAGTTGGTGTAGAGACCCCAGGCCTTGTATGACATGAAGACGCCGAAGAGCATCATCAACACGTTGAGTGAGTTTGTGAGGACCTATGAGATTCGTTTAATACATTCCACCCAAAGTTAGTCCAGGGACAATTGCACGTATATTATTTTTTGTGAAAGAACTGAACGTGATGATGTGTACCTGGCGCAGATTCATGGCTGGTCTTTTGTGTGTTTTATGTGTGGAGTGTGAAGAGAATGTGGTTGTAGTAGTAGTGGTCTCAAGACGCGAGGGAGGGGTGGAAACGAGCAAGGGTGAGTAGGTGAGTAAGTGGTGAGAGGAAGAGGACAAAAGGGACGAGAAAAGTAAAGCTGATGCTAACACTTGTTCTCCATCTCTCCAATTCTCCTCCACTAGCAGACACGGACGTGGTGGATCGTGGATTACTTGCCTACACGTGACCCATGCATTCAACAGGTGCGAAAGCGTGCAAAAAAAGGTTTCATAAACGAAGGCCACCTCGAGTCTCGCTCTTATCACCCTTCCCTTTGCCTCCATCTTCGACATAACCTCCATCACTCACACTCACATCTACGTCCTCCTCTTCTTCTCTCTTTCACCCTTCCACCTTCTCTTTCTCTCTCTCTTTCTCCCACAAACCCTCCTTTCACAGTATGCCGCCACCACCACCTCCACCTCCTCCCCCAGGCGGCGGGCCTCCTCCTCCTCCTCCCCCTCCTGGCGGTGGACCTCCAAAAGCTGCTTCTGCTCCTCCAGCTCGCAACGCCCTCCTCTCCCAAATCCAAAGTGGCACCAGACTCAAAAAGGCCGTTACCAACGACCGTTCTGCTCCTGCTGTCGGTACGTCCCCCTTCCTTTCATTCTTTGCACACACACACACCCGATGTTGATTACTTTGTAAACCATGCATTGACAATACTCAACTACACGCACAAAAAATGAAGCGTGACTTTTTCCTAACCGTCGCATTGGAATGAAATGAATCACAATAGTTGCCCCAAAGTCGAACGGCGGTGGAGCAGCGTTAGGGAGACCACCTCAAATCGGAGGCGCAAGCAATGGAGGCGGCAGTGCCGCAAGTGCTCCTAGTGCACCACAACTTGGAGGACTGTTTGCAGGAGGAATGCCCAAGCTGAAGAGTCGAAGCGGCGGTCTGGACACTGGAGGTAACAAACGAAGGCGCATTATGTCTATATTTTTTTTAATATTTTTTTGGCGAAAGGCTGTTGCTTTTTTCTGTTCTTTTGGAACCTTTCTCAACTGCCAAGAGAAACGGAGTCGTAGGTCTTCCGTTAACCTCTAGGCTGTTGGCTGATGTTATTTGCTGCTGGGCTACCCTGAAGAAAAAGGAAGAGTCAACAGAGATAATTGTTCGTGGACGTCATGGAAATGGCGAACCATCTGGCGGATATTTGGGACACGACACGACACGACATGTACACGGGAAGAAAAATCGAATAGGCGGACGGTCAGGGCGTGCAACGGGAGGACCTTCTTTTCCTTTGATCTTTTGTGTCTTGCTTGCAGACAAGTCGACCGACCAAAAGACCAACTCGACTCGACTGCCAAATGACCATTCCTTCAACAATTCGCCTTTTGGTTTATATTTACCCAGCGGACGAACGCTATTATATTGCATCCCAGTACAGCTGAGCTGCTCTCACCCTCACACAGTCTCGGCCAACCCATCCTTTTCTTTCTTCTTCTGAGCGCTCCAGTTTGTCGTACTTTCTTTGTGTTCCTTTCTCACAATGACAGACGACTGTTGTCATATTTTGTCCTCTCAACATGCTGATGGATTCCCTGCACCCGAGCGTGGTGTCGATATGATGCCTGACCCGTACCTTCAAAGCGCATCTCGGAACCTAACATATCTAATCGTTTTTGCTCTATTGCCATTCGCTGTGCATAGTTGACACTAGTGCAAACAGTAACGGCAGTACTCCTGCGAGAGGACTCCCAAAACCACCAGCAATTGAAAGCCCAGCAAGGGCAACTCCCCCAGCACCAAAAGCAACCCCGCCCAGTGTGCCAGGAAGAACCCCGCCACCAATGCGTCAGGCACCCATGACCCCACCATCAGGAGGAGGAGCGCCCAGTTTGCCCAATCGAGGCTCACCTGCTAGATCAGTCCCTGCTCCACCACCCGTCAATGGATCATCCAATACCTCGCCAGCTCGGGCCATCCCAGCCCCTCCACCAACTCCTGGACGCACTGTTCCCGCTGTTCCTCCAACACCTGCACGTTCATCAGCACCACCAGCACCACCAAGAAAGACAGGACCTCCTCCACCACCCACCAGGATCAACGGATCATCGCCTGCTCCTCCAGCAACACCTTCTCGGCCAACACCAGGACTTCCTAATCGTGCGCCACCTCAACAGCCTGCTCGAGCCTCACCAGCACCCCCAGCCGCCGCATTGCCTTCGCCCATTGTCACCGCTACCCCACCTAACAGGACTCGCCCTCCACCCACCGCTCCTGCTGCCACACCTCCAGCCCTTCCTGGCGTAGGAGCCAGACCTCGATCTGGATCAGCGCCACAGCGACCTCTTACTACTGCCGTCAAAGCTCGTAAGTTGCAAAGCTTACTCTCGGATCTGAGAAAGAGTTGGCTGATACAAATGGCGGTCCGCAGTTCAGTCCGATGTTGTTTACTAATATTTATATCATACGCCACCTTTTGTTGTGTCTATAGCAGAACCACCAGCAACGGAAGGCAGATGGACATTCAGGACGGCGCCCGATTTCCCAGCACCTCGACCGAATCACAACCAGGGATCAAAGGTGTATCCCAGTGGCAACTCGACAGGAAGCTGTAAGTATCCGGAATGGCTTGATATCAGGATGCACATTTTGTTTTGCTCTTCTAAGCATTCCATGCATGATGTCATCGCTTTGAACACATGAATTATCGTCTAACGCGGCGCACCCAATCTTTTGGGCTGTTCTCTTTTTTTTTGCGATGGTTGCACAGCTATCCCTCTTGACTTGTCGACATTAGCAGGAGTAGCAGCAGGAAGGGTGCCTCCTCCCCCGCCTCTCGGAGGCGGTGGCCGTTATCGCTAATGGATGCTGACCGTGAACAAATTCTACCCGGCTTACAATAAAACCCACTTTTGATATACCTTCTCTGTATGCATCCTTCTGTGTGTGCTTGCATGATCATCAAAATCAAGGTTGCGAAGAACGAAGAAGGGTTTGGTCTATTGGGCGAGGACGCTGCTTTATTTCTTTTTTTTTTGGGTTCCATTGTGGACATGTATGAGAGTAAGGTGAATGATCATTACTCATCATCGACCCCGCCACCATTCCGCTCGACGAGTCTCCTGTGCTGCTCAGCAGCATCGGCGACCATTTCCTTCCTCTTGAGCGAGACTGCATCCAATTGCTTCTGCAGGCTGGCGATCTGGTTCTGAAGCTTCTTGATATCTAATTCTGCCTTGGCTAATTTTTTTAGAGATGACAAAACAGACAACCAACAATGAGTAAAATAGTCCAAAGGGAAAGTTAGCGACAAGCAAAAAAGAAAGAAAGAATGAAGCAAAGCGAACCTTTTGCTACTGTGACGGGCTTGGAAGTATCTTCAACGATGGCGCCAAACTCACGGTGGTAGACTTCCTTGGTTGCGCTCCATTGATGTTCCTTTTCGCTCGATTCCTTTGCCAATGCGTCAATCTCTACTTGCACGCCGTCGCTATTGGATATAGATAGATAGATAGAAAGGTCGGAGGCGAGGAAAATGTGGATGTTAAAGTGAGAAGGGACTTCTAACAAAATGGACTTTGGTAAAGAAAACATTTCGTACATGAAGAAAGGAGTCGAAAGAAAAGGACAAAACGGTAAGAAACATATCTTACCGATCGGCACTGTCAGCGGCGTCGTCCAGCTGCTCCTGCTTGGCGGCCAATTGCTCGCGGACCGAGATCAGAGTCCGGGTCGATTTTTCAAGCTATCACCATCAAAGAACATAGACAATTGGAAAAGGAATGTCAAGGGTCAGCTTTGTTCTCTAATAGCTCTGTCCTCCCTAAAAAAAAGTCAATCGCTCAAAAAAAAAAAAAAAAGCTCCTGCTTTTTCTGCTACTGCCATTTTCTTTGGTCTTTACCTCCTCGAGGGCAACTTTCTCCGGGTCAGCTCCTGTGCGTTCCTCCCTGCTTGTAAGGAAAATCAAAATCAGGAACAGAAAGGGAAAGTAAAGGGAAGGGATTAGTTTACATGGCATGCATAAGAAAACACTAAAGTAAAAGAGAGTTCTCCCGTTTTTCCTTCCCATGCTGTAAAAAAAAAAAGAGGTGTGAGTGCGTAGATGTGTGCGAAAAGGTGAAGTCTTCCTTCTTTTGATCGATGAAAAACGCACAAGTAAGACAAAGTATGTGTGAGAGAGTGGGTGAGTGAGTGTAACGTTACTTTTCAATGGCTTCAAGACGATCCTTGCAGAACGTCAACTCTGCATCCAGATCAGCTTGTGGCACAATGACAGCAGAAGCAACAGTGGCGGTTGTTTGAGTGTGCTCGGGCACTTGTTGATCCTTTGAGAGGGCGTCATTGTCGTCCTGTGTCTGTGCCTGCTCCTGTTCCTGGATCAGCGTTGAAGTATCGGAGGTAGTGGGGGTGTTGGTTCCTGGAGTGATATCAGAGACCAGCGACTCGGTCGTCTATGAGAGTAATAGCGTAAAGTGTGTGAGGGGAGGAGAACGTTAGGCTAGACTGGTTTGACAAGGGCGTGTGCCATGGTGGAGGTTGACATGAGTGGCACATGGTCATGAGAATAACTGCAAGAGGGCGTACATGGATCTGTGAAGTGGGTTCGACAGCGGTGCTCATGGTGGTGGTGATGGGTATAAAAAAGAAGTAAGGACTGATGAGAGAAGAGTAAAGAGTTTAGTTTATGGTTGGTGTGGAGAAGAAGAAGAGTTGAAAGAGTGCAAAAAGGCGGAGCTCCTTTTTGATGTGGACACAAAACGTCAAAGGGGGGCAAGGGAGAAGGGGGTCAAGAAAGGGGGCTTTCAACCATGTCCCGTCGACAGAGAAACCATGTCGCACCATCACCATATGCATTTTCTACATCATGGCATTTATGGCACTACGTTCTATTCACTACATTTTGCACCTATACATATCCCGCACACATACACAGTACATTCGATTCACTTTGCGTTGCTGCTGCTGTTGCTGCTGCTCAGAAAGCGAGAGCAGTGGATGTGTGTGTGTGTGAGTGTCGTACACTGCCAAATTTCGACCTGCTTCTTTTTTTAGACCTGAACGAACGAGAGAGAATGCGAAAGCGAGGGAGAGAACGATATGTACCAACGGCAAAGCATCTCTACCGAACCCACTCTTTCCTTTGTTTAATTACCATCATCCTTTTTTTCCATGAATAACATCCTCCGTCAATTTAATACATTCTATGACGAATTATCCTTCTAAGTTCTACAAAGTCAATTGGCTGGCTTTGACGATCGCAGCCCGAAGTTCATCCAGGCCGTCCTTGGTCTTGCTGCTAACACCCAACACCAGGGGGAAGCAGCAGATCGAGCCCTTGACTAGCTCTGCTTCAATCTCGGCCTTGGCAGCACTGTACTTTGTCTTGGAGAGCCGATCCATTTTTGTCAACACCACTTGGTAAGAAAGCCCCGAGCTGTCGAGGAGCTTCATGATCTGGGCGTCGCTCTCCTTGAGCCCATGAGATGGATCCATCAGAATGTATATCCTCCTCAAGCTATTGTGACAGATATTTACAGATGGAGATGGGCGTCAGTCAAGTTGGACTTTAGAGGTGGGTAAAAGATGGACGATGGTTCACCAAGACAAAGGTGGACTTACTTTTTCCTGTTCTGGAGGTAGCTCAAAATCATGCCGCCCCACTCATCTCGACTCTTCCATCCGTATCCTGGCATGTCGACCAACGACAGCTTGTCACCCAGTTTGAAAAAGTTCATCATCCGCGTATGACCCTATTTTGAGAAACAAAAGAATATAACATAAGAAAAAAAACTTTGTCCTGCTCGCTTTGTCATCCAACACCCTAGTCCCTCCATGACTGACATAACAAAAGTCCGTCCCTTTTGTTTCTCCTGCTGCTCAGTTTGTTAATTGCTGCTCATAAAAAACAAAAGAAGACTTACAGGTTTGCTCGATGTCTTAACGAGACCGTTGCGGTTAACTAGACCGTTGATCAGACTTGACTTGCCAATATTACTCCTGCCAACAAATGCGACCTAAAAGCGTTGAATGTGGCATCGCTGTCAGAGACAATGTCCTTGACGCAAGCCTCCATTTATAACAAATATCCATGTAGCATGTAATGCACATTACCTCAGGTATCATGGTGTTCTCGGGTATCATCGAGAGATCGGTCGCGCTCTTGACAAACTCGGCGGGCGACAAGAAAAACTTGTGAGCCTTGGTCAGCTCGCTCGTCGTTGCGCCTGGTACGAATGGGAACGCCTGCAGTTTCTTGGGGAACTTTTCTGCAACCGGCTTTGTAGATGTTGGTGTAGATGTTGGTGGCGTTGAAGATGATGATATGTTGTTCTTGCTTCCGCTAAGTCTCTCCTGCTGCTGTTGCTGCTGATCTGTAAATGATGGCGATTTGGATGCGGCGGGTCTGTTGGCTTTGAGTGATGGCGGTGCGAGACCTTCGATCCTGATGGGTCGATCCGATCTATCATGCTTGGTAGTCGGAAACCCTTGGTGAACTGTGCTTCGCCTCGTAGATGGTGCTATCGTCGAGATGGAGGTAGGTGCCTTGGCGATCACAGAATGCGAGGCTGTCGTAGGTTGTTCCGTCCTTGTTATTGAAGCCTTGGCCTTGTCGATCTGTGCCGTGCCTTCGATCGACTCGGATAGAGCAGGTCGATCATAGGGCGCGCGGTCCTGACCGCTTGGTATCCGGCGGAACCCAGCTCGCGTCCTGAGACTGCGTGAGGGTGCCTGGTTCATTTGGACAGATATAGGTTGTACGTAGTTGTGGTAGAGTGCTGCACCCCATGACGATCCTGCCTTCCTGGCTGTTCCTGTGATGGAGGTCATTCCTTGCTTGTCTCCTTGTTCCTTTGCTTCCTTGGTTGCTTGTGTGCAATGGTAGCAGCAGACGGCTCTGCCGTAAAAGGAAAATTGGGAACAAGTGTGTCCACAGTGCCAAGCCACTCAAAAGTCAACAGTCCAAGCAGTCGTCGGAAACACAAAACTGACTGATTCACCTCCCCACCAACGCATTCATCCCCTCTCTCCATCCACATATACATTTATCCAACATGAACCACGAAACCAAGGAAGTCATCCTCAAGGTCACCGATGTCGTCAAGACCGTTGTCCACTTCGGCTTCATCCCATTTGTGATCTACCTCGGTGCGTTCTTTTTTCTTCTGTTCGGCATCACACTCTGTGCAGACATTGATATCATTCTTGGTGAAATTGCATTTACGACCTGACAATACAGAAGTACTAACCTTGGGCAACTCCTTCTTTGCAAACTTGTAGGATTCACCCGGTATGAAAGAACTCTCATTTGAAAAGCTATAGGCAGCGCAGTTACACAACTCACCGACAAAAGCACAACTTACGACGACTGGAACGACCCTTGCCACAATCACCATATCAACAGCCAGAGACGTCGCTACGGTGAACAGGAATCACTAACGCTAACAGTCACCACTGTATCAATGGAGCAGACGTGCAACAAGTGGAATACTCTCAGCACTCCATTTTGAACAGCCTACTTACGCCTTTTTTTCATTCTCTTTGCGTATGCTCCTGTCCTTTTACATTTTTCACAGAAGCGACCCCAAGCCCTCTTTGATCCGCCTCATCCTTCCTTTGGCTTAAGCCTTTCCGGAGACAGACAAGACGGACCAAGACACTATCAAATTACATATTGCATTGAACAACGACGACGTGCGGACAGGAAATAAAAAAGCACCCATCAAACATGCTACACGTGACTCATCCTGTGCTAGTGAAGAAGGAGAAAGCGTCTTGTTGAAAACATTACCTCGTCTTCGATTGATTCGACACTCTTCAAACTTCAAATGAGGACTCGCCATCAACAAGCGCCTCTGGACCCAAATATTGCAGCAATGCTGACTTTTGGTAATAACACTTGCCTGCATTCCTTTCTTTATTCCGCGCTGAAAAGTGGCTTGCAGGGTCTTCAAAGGATTTCTGGAGCTGGTAGAACCTTTGAATTGAATACTACTGTCTAACAGCGTTGATAGACGAAATGTTTGATGCGGCGGTTCTGTATGGTAAGGAGACAAGAGATAGCGCTGCTATGCTTCACCATCTTTGCATTAGGTGCAAAAAGCCTCTTGATACATACTGCAGACTTGACGCTCACATTTGCTTCATGTGTGCCTTTTTCTGTTAGGTATGGGCGAACAGGAAGAATCAGCAGGATATCAGCAAGATGAAGAGACGTTTTCATGGGCGTCAGACGAACTTTTGAGCTCGGAGGAGGGGAAGGAGGGGGACGAACAGGAAAACGAGGCGCCTTCAGAGGGCAATGCAGAAACTACAGCTATCAACATCAGCGCCGAAACCGCTGCTGCTACTGCGAGTCTGGACGCCGCGGACATCGAAATGTACAAGCAGCTGATTGAGTCTGTCGGACTGGGCTGGACACGACCCTATTTACAGTTATCATCACCATCGACCGCCTGGACTGGAAGATTGTGTAAGCACGGTTCTGGAAGGCGAGGACTTTAGCATCCCAAAGACGACGACAGACCTTGGCGACTCAGGCGAGTGGAAACCGATCAGGATCTTGGACGATTTTGTCATCTATAACAAAAACAAAAGCCGGCCGGGATATGGATTTCGCTTCTCGGATCTAGAAAAGTGTCTTGACAGTTACTGCGAGATTGGGATCAGCGAGAAAGTTCGACCTGCGTTGACCAAGCATGGACGGATCTTTGGTCGCAAGAAGGTTCAGTCGGCGGAGGCTGGGACTCAAGGCAAAGGATCCACTATCCACCTATCGAAAGTCCTTGGCTGGGGTATGGAGATAGTCGATAACGATGAGAGCTATCTGTGGGTCAAGACTCAATTCGCGACGTACATCTTGGGTTCACCAGCATCAATGTACGGCGCAGTCTATGACGACCTGTTCAAGAAACCCCGGTTGATAAACCTGCTGATGGTGGCCCTGATTGCCGGTCGGGACGTGACTCTGGACAATTTTATGTCGAACATGCGCTACACCAAAGCTGGCGCGTGCAATCGGTCACCGAGACGCGTCCTTGCAGGAGGGCCGCCTGTCAGATCGAACTGGGACCAACCCCTGACACAGTCGGACCTTATGGCTCATAGCGCGTACGTTCAGGAGGAAATTATGTTGTGGTGGAAACAGTACAGTCTACCATGGGAGGTGAGTCTCACTCCACCGATCTTTGATGAGCTGAGATAGGCTTATGCGATACTTGGTCCTGTTGTGAAGTTTCAAGTATCGCCGCTCCGCAAGAAGCGCGTGCAGGAGTAGATTTAGTAGCCTTGTCGCGGGCTTCACGACGATACTCTTTTTTTTTTCAGACAGCCATAATTTCTGTCTTCACACACATTGTACATACACAATCGTTCCTTTTCCTTTTTTTTCTCGCGTGCCCACTCTTGTAAATAATCCAATAGACTTTACATGGACTTTCTGTTCCTGCCCTTTCAATTCAATTTGGAGTTTTATTTGGGGTCACAGCTCAGTGGAAACGCGTGTGGTTTTGCGGAATTCCATTGCGTTTCCCACTCTACAATTTGATAGCACAACCACCATGACAGATCCTGTAAACCACAAGAATCAAAGTCGAAAGGAATGTAGTCCAGTGGTGTGGTAGATGATTATTATGATTACTATTATTATTATTGTTGTTAAGAGAAGGTAAAAAGGAACTAGTGGTGCTCCAATTCAACAGATTCTTCACGATGTCTAAAGAATCGGCCAATGCTGCCCAGCCCAGGAGTAGAGGTATTAGAGGTTGTGGTAGAAGGGGGACCTGATCCAGACCGATGAGGGACAACTCCTCCTGTGAACTGCACCGAGTTGCCAGCCCTGCTTCGTGAAGATGGTGGTACTCCAGAACCAGAACCAGAGGCAGCGGCAGAAGCAGCAGCAGTAGCGGCCGCAGCGGCGGCTGCACCGTAAAGAGGATGGTTGGCAGGCACAGAGGCCCTCCGTTTCCGTTCCTCCTCAATCTCTTCAAGGCGGGACATTGCGAAATCCAGTCGACGTTTGGCTTCGGCTGCCTCACCCTGTTGACGGAGCTGAGCGAGACGTGCGTTCTGGAGGAGGACACGAAGGGCACAAGTCTGGAGTCCAAACTCGCCCGACAGAACAGCAACTTCACAGATCGCGGGGGCATTGTTGGCGTCCAGTTGGTGGTGAAGAGCTCGGAGGACCAATTGGCGGAGACGGGTCAGATCATACCGGTTTGACATCAGCAACATACCCTGCAAACTCTTGAGCTTGAGTTGATGGGCCGTGGCAAGCTCGTTGGTGTAGACGTATTGGAGGAAGGCAACTAGGATAGGCATTGCCTCACGGACAACAATCTCAGCTGGCAGATCCGTCAACTCCTGAAGTCTCGCTTCCTCATCGCGGGGCCCACGGACGTATGTGCTGTCGTGCTTGATCTTGGAATCGCGCTCTCTGATCAAGTTCTGGAAGTAACCCCAGCGTTGGCCAACAATAGCAGAGTTGACTCGGACTCGACCTCCGTCAGCCGAGCTCACCAGGACCACATCCGCTCCAAGACCATCCCTCAGCATCACCAGACCTAGCTTCGCTCCGTTGGTACCCATCGAAGACTCGTCAATCTCGGGACAGATGCCGAATCCTTCCAAATCGATCTTGACCAGATGTGTGAACGCCGTCGGGACCAAGGTAGGGACCAGCTGATGGGCAGGATCCATTCCCGCCAACTCCTGTTGAGGATCTTTGATGCCCGTGCCGATCAAGTACAGGTAGTTGTCATCGCGATCCAGGAGAGACTGCTTCCACTCGCCCGAAGAAAGACTCTTGGAGAGCTCCAGCTGAGTCCACTGGTGGGTCTTGAGATGGAACATCCAGACAGAGAATGTCGACCGTGAATCGGAACCAGAAGTAGACGATGACGACGACGCTCCATCGTGCATATCCTGACCAAGGCTTTCTGAAGAACTTGACGCGAGTTTGTCTGTCGTCTTGGCAGTGCTGGAAGGAGCCGCTGACCCTGAGAGCAAGACGCAGTGGTCGACGACATGACTCTCTGGGAACAGCATCTGAGGAGGGACGGCCAGCTCTGTTGATGCAAGCATCCGTGTCGCAAGGTCGTTGACATACGATCCTGTCCATTCCGCCTTGATGTCGTACGAGTTGAGCTCGCTCCTGGCACAGTTAGCTGTCTTGGAGGCCTGGATCTTGACGAGTTCCTGTCTGGGGTTTGTCGTGGTACCCATGTAGTTCGAGAACATGTACATAGAGGGACGCATCGACTTCTGAGGCGCCGTCGCAGTAGCCTGTTCAAATGATTTCATCGTGTCCGCTAAGGCGATGCCGGAAAAATTGAAGGGATCGGGCGCACTGCCAAGGGATTTCCGTTTCTCACTCCTAGGGTCTTTGACGGTGCTCTTACTTTCGTTGACGGTGCCCTTGGCTTCAGTAACGTTGACCTTACTATCGTTGATGTTGACGTTACTCCGACTACCGTTGATGTTGATGTTACTCCGGCTGCCGTTAATGTTGCTCCTGCTGTCGTTAATGGTGCTCTTCTCGCTCTTGCCATCGGTTTTTCCTGTCTTTCGCGAGTCATCCGTCGCCGCTGAGCCCCTGCGTACCGATCCAGAGCTGGAAGTTGTACTGGAACTGCCTCGCCTCTGTGATCGAGTTGTAGCAATCACTTTGGGCCGTACTGGTGGGCGTGTCTTGGCTTCGCGCGCTATCGTTACTGCCAGGTCGTCCAGATCCAACAAACCGCCGTTGGACTTTGCAAAGAACTTCTTGGAGACTGCATGGGTGACAGGCGCCTTGGAGCGAGATCGAGAACCAGAGCCTGCCACAGATGGTGACGATGTCGAATTAGAAGGAGTCGATGACGATTGGGACTGAGAACGCTTTCTAGCAGCCGCAGCCTCTTGAGCAGACATCTTGGAGCCCTTGCTGGTTGTTGTTTGGCCGCTTTTGGAACTGCTGACAGAAGGCTGACGAGCCCTTGCAACTGCATCCGCGGTAGTCATAGAAAGTCCAGCTGACGCTGCCATACCCTGCGAGATCTCCGGATCCATGCCCAAACCGACAAGTCCGTGCGATTTAGCTACGTTAGAGTTGGTATAATCCTGCGGTTTTCCTGGCTGAAGCCCCCAGACGGAGTCGTCCTGCTCCAAACCAGTCAACAACCGAGTGTCGGTCTTGAACCGATGGCGGGGAATAGTGTTGCCAGGGAGGAGATCGAAAGGGTGACCCTCTCCACGATGCCAAGAGTTTTTGCGGGGGTTGAGAAGGAATGAGGTTGAGGTAGGTGAAATGGGTGGGATGGCTGCACTGGGGAGACTTGGCAAGGGACCACTGCTGTTGGGAGTGCTGTTGGCAGTGCTGCTGGGAGCCAATGACGATGCTGACGAAGTAAGGTCCGATGCTGAGGAAGACTGTTCCGGTGAATGTTCATCGCCTGCGAGACACTCGAGATATCTCCGCCGGCGACGTGTCATCGGTCTCTCTTCGACGCCAGCAAGGGCTGACATGCGCTGACAGCACTGAGCATGAAGTTCTCCGCCGATCATCCAGACACGGCGTGCAAGGTCTAGAACACTAATATCCTGGATCGGTGAGTTGTCCTGCATCCGCCCTCCAACGATGACCATATGATCTCCGTTCAACGAGGCGACATGTGCAAACCGGGCGCGGGGTGTATGCTGCATAAAAGGCGAGTGTGCTAACTGAGGCGTGGGCTGCTGTGTCGTCAGTGGTGTTCCTGCGAATGGCGAGGGTGTTCCTGTGAACGTCGACGGGGTGGCTGACCGAAGTGGGGATGTCTAGCGTATCACATTTATAGCGACAAAATACTATGTAGGTCAGTTGATTTGTTTGGTGTGTCAAACACGCAATTGGCCCGTGTCCTCACTCTTTTTTTCCCTCTTTTTAACAGCCTTACCCCCGCCCCTATTCTTCATAATAGGCGCGTCTAGACTCACCTCTCTGCGAGTTTGGCTGAATTGGGCTGCTTGGAAGGACATGTCGCCTGGAGTGAAGGTTGCAAGGCTAGCTGCGAGTCTTGAGGGCTCCATCGATCCATGACCAGAGTCGACGCTGCCAAAGTTACTCACCTTGTCATTCTCCGACGAGATCTCATATACTGATCGCTTTTGTGGTGGTTGCAGGCCCGGCTGAGCAGCAACAGGATGTTGATATTCTGCCGGGTTCAGAGAGGTTGAGAGCCACCTCATGGACGTCAAGTCGAGGATATGGGTGTCGTTCAGACAAGCCTCATGGACACCGTATTCGTCTTGCTCGATACATCGCCCACCAAAGACAACCATCTGCGCCGTGTTCTCCTCACCCCACCCTGCCAAGACTCCGTGTGCGTCGAATAGAGGCGGTGCTGTGACCACGATTGCTGAATGGTAGTAGCGGGGCTGGGGTATTGAGGTCGTGTATGCTGCTCAATGTTGCACACAGCAATATAAACAAAAGACGAGGCATATGTTAAAATCCAAGAAGAGTGCGCATCAAACCTCCAACCTTATCCGTTCCGAAAGACAGGTTCGGTGACGATCAAAACAGTATCCCGGCATATATACATGTATGTCTCCATGTATTCAAGTAATAAAAACACTTACCAACAGAAGTAAGACCCACGACAGAGTCTATCTGCTGGGTATTGTCCGGTGAGAGAGGATGGTGCCGTTCCTCCAGACTCGAAGGTGTCGTTATCTTGGTGGCAAGATCGTTCTGCTGGGGAGCATGACGCTGGTGGTAGGTGTGATCGACCAGTTCCCAGACAAGCGTATCCAGATCGAGAACATAGAGGCTGTTGGTGGGGGCACCCCCCTCTTGTCGTCCTCCGAAGAGAACCATTCGCTTGTTGTGGATGACTGTTGTCGAGCCAATAAGTGGGGGAGGAATCTGTCCTGTCACCTGGAGCAAGGTCGAGGTGCGATCTGACAACGTGTAGGTCTCCTTTTCCTTGCCAGTACTAAGGCGATTCGCAGCTGTTGATGGCATGGACGTACTGCGCGACTGAAGGGTGACGATAGCATATTGGGGTTCGGAAGAGTGAGCTGACGTGCTGTTGTGGCCTTGAGCTGAAGTGGCGGCGGTTGCGCTGGGTGGAGGCACGGGAAACTTTGGGAATACGATGTGATCCGAGCTGTGGTTGCGACGATGTGTGTGGGGGGTGGTCTCCTCCGTGTAGGGTATGGATGCTGTAGAGGTGGTGGATTGGGCGGCGTAGGCCGCCTCATCGGTTGGGAGTGACCGAGGAAGATGGTTGTTGTAGTAGTTCATAGCGGAAGAGTAAGGTTGTTGCTGTTGTTGTCCGTTGGAATAGCAGTAGTCATATAAAGGCGGGAAGGAGAGGGATAGAGTTGAGGGGGGTGTGCTACCTTTTGGTGAAGGTGCTTGTGCGCATGAATGGGGGGTATGTGTTCGTCGCCTCTTTTTATTTTTGTTCCTGCTGTTGTTGTTGGTGTTGTTGTTGGTGTTGTTGTTGGTTGTTGTTGCAGTCGTTAAGTTTTTTATGTTCGCGGAGTGAATAATATATAAAGAGACTGATCAGGAATGAGGGAGTAATCAGGGTTGAGGTGGATGAAAAGGAATGAGAGTGAAGGAAGAAAGAGAGAGCCAAGGGGTGAGAAAGAGAGGGGGAGAGGGCGAGAGAGTGAGGGAGATGATGAGGGAGGGGATAAGGAAGGAAGGAAAGTATGAAAGTAGGAAGAAGAAGAAAGAGGGGGATAAAGAACAAAAAAGGAGAAAAAAAATTGTCTTCATGTAAGCCAACTTCCAAGACATGAAAACAAGGGCCCCAATCGCAGACAAGAAGGTCTTGAATGAAAAAGAAAAAATATGAAAAGAGGCGAGAGAATGATGACTGATAGACTGATAGACTGATAGACTGATTGACTGAATGAACACTGAGTGAGATAAACAGAGTTGTCGGGCGCGATCTAGTCTCCTACGCCACTACGGTACTGATTAACAAAGAAGGGGCAACAAAACATGAAAAAAAATGAAAAAACGGCGCCTCTTGGTCTGGATGGACAGGCACATTCGAATTATCTCCGCAATACTCTCTGTTGTACATTCACTACAGTACTGCAAACTCGCTCTCTTGAATGAAAAACAAGGTTGCGACAAACAGAATGAACAAAGAAAGGGCTGAACGCTGCTATTGTTGTTGCGCTGTTGTTGTTGTTGTTCCCGACTCGTCATCACCCATCCTTCATCCATCGGCTGCCCACCTACGCGATAATTCGATGCTTCTTCTTCCCCCTTCCTCCTCCTCTTTCTCTCTCTCTCCTCTCCCTTTCTTTATCTCCCTTTAATTGACCATCAACACCGCCGCCCATTCAGGCGTAGTCAAGGTCCCCCGCCCCCATGGTTTCGCTATTTTAACCCTCCTCCTTCCCAATTTCTCTATGTTATGTGTCCAAATGTCGGTCAAAAACAAGTGCTCTTTTTTATGACTTCTACCCTTTACCATTCAGACAATCGGATTGCCTGTTCCTGTTACCCTCCTTACCCATTCCTCATATCCAGCGTTGACCCCACCTTTTTTTCTAGGATGACCCCACTCTCAAGAAGAAAAAATAAAAAATCTTAAAAAACACACTCGAGTCTCGACCGACCATCCATGACAACAGGCGTAAACATCCGCTGCGTCATGTTTTATCCTTGCCAAGGTGAATAGCCAACAACAATAACAAAACAATGCCGACAAAACCGTGCTTGCATGGCCATTGCCTCTCCATCTCCAAACAACCGATATTGAATATATTTATTCTTGCCTGTCCCTCCCTCTGCCTTTAGCCTCGCTGCAAGTTTACGAGATGTGGTTGAATGGGCAAGAAGGAAGATTATGGTAGATCTGAGAAAGCCTCGTCCGATATCTCTGTCTCCAGAAAAGTCCTCAGGGCCTCGGTCAACCTGGCTGCTAAGACATGCTCACACTTGTTCATAGTGAATAAATGACAGCAAAGAAATAAACGAAATGAAATGGAAACTCGCATTAGCTATCAGCAACAGGCAAGCTAGACTAACGAAAGAAAGCAATTGAAGAAAGTAGGCAGAACAGAGGGCTGGAGAGGACCATTTACAGCCATGAATTGAAAAATAAGAAAGCAATTGGGAGAAGACAAAAACCAGGGGGGAAGGTAAAATAAGGTATTCATCGAATGGTACCCTGACCAGCTCTTCAATTATTTCTCAGCAACTTCCTGGATCCTCCTGCTCTTTCCTCCCTCCCACGCTCACTCTCACTCGTTCTCGTTCTCTCTCACCCTTTTTTCTCGTTGTTCACTTACCATGATGGATTCGCGAACCAGAACTACAGAACAAGAAACAACAGGCGACCAGGGAGTGGTTGTAGTTGAATGAAGATAAGTCAAAAAATGTATTAATATTAGCTTTCATGTCAATCTCCGCACAGTTCAACTAACGCTGTCTTTTTTTTTGTCTTTTGGCTTTGTCTGATCGACCGACATGTGTGCCTGTCTGTCTGTCTGTCTCTCTGCCCCGCGCACACTATACAATTCTCACAAGATAGATCCAGACCATCCCCTTTTTCATCTGTCCTTCTAAAAGAAAAAGTACCCTGAAGGAATTGACTGCAGGTGCAGTGACGAAGGGCTGGTCTGCATGTCATCATGATCTCTGAATCAGGGTCCTTCACCTGCATCAAGATGTTAAAAAATGAATGAGCCAAGGTTAATGACAGAAAAGAGTACAACATGCACTTAGCGGTGGCAACAAATGAAGAAAAAAGAGATGAGATACAATGCCTGTTGTACTGAGTATGTGTGGCGATGAAGGGATACAATCACACCATTCATTCATTTCCCACAAGAACAAAGAGTCAGGTACCAATGACCAGCTATGTCCTCCTTCTCTATCTCTATCGATCTTACTTTACCCCGCTCTCCGCGGCGACAAAGTTTTCCTTACTTGGTACACCGCTCTCCGAGAACCTCTGGCGACTAGTCTTTTCACTAAGAAGAAAGGGGAAGAGAGTTAGTGCGGGGATGAAAGGTGGGGATAGAGCGGTGGGACCCAGATACCAGAAGGTCAGTCAACATTTCAATCTGTGAGCATTACTGAACCAGTCAAGTTGTACGTAAATTGTGATTGTAGAAAGTGATTATGGGAAGATGGGCGTCGGAACCAATAGCCCAGCCTCTTCTTGTTTTTTCTTCTAGTGCCAGCAAGGATATACTCCGATTGAGTCGTAGAAGGAATGTATAACAGTAGACAGGAGTGCTTACCTGAACCGGGGTTGTTGTCCAGGATACGTAAGGCGCCCAGGACAGATGTAGTCGTAATATTCCCTTGCTGGCCGATAATGTGCATCAAACACATGATATGGTTGTCCGTTACTATGTTATAGAGAGATGAATGAAGCTCATTCAGTTTCTTTGCCATCTCCATCAGCATCATCCTGATCGTCAACTCGACGCAAACGAGAGATGTGTACATTCACCAGTGGCGGCGACAGAGTCGAGGAGTGCGTCGAGTGCTCCGATGGGCGTTACAGTCTCTTGACGTTGATCCCGTGGCATGGCCATCCGTAGAATATGTGGAGAATAACAAGCAGGCTGGAGTGTGTGGATGTCAACGTGGTTAGCAAGGTGACACAAAGAAAAATGGATGGTTCAAGGGTGACAGACAACGTGGCAACCTTGCTTCTAGGGTTATTTGGTGGCAAACAAACTATGCACATGACTTGTCCAGGAATGGGGCGTGGGAAAGGGACAGAGCGCTGGCAACATCATAGTACATGATCCATGCAACAGACACCCCTTCTCACATGCGGCGCCCCTTGCCGCATATGTACTGTGGACTACATAGGACCGGCACTATTATGCCATAGCTAACCCCTTCTCGCTTCCTCACTCTCTCCTTTGTTTGTGACTCCGTGTTTTGAACTCCTGAAAGAAGAATCATGCACCCGCACTGTCTCTTCTCCTTCAACTCGCAGTTTGACAATCCTTCTTATCAACACACTCCTCTTTTTCTTTCTTTCCTTCTTTCTTTCATACGTCTCATCTTGCTCTCATTTACTTTCTTTCTCTTCCCTCCACACATTGCATTACCATTTTGTCATTGTCATCTCGTCACCGCATCTTCCTCCTATCCCTCATCCTCTCTACCATCGCTCACATCTCAGACAGCTCCCGCATGCCTTCACCACGCGGCCATCGTCACCACAGCCACAACAACTCACAAAAGGCACACAACCTTGACCAACTAGAACACATTATCGAGGATGATAAGCAACTCTTTTATGACCTCGCCAATATCCACAACAACAACCAAAGCCCGCCAACATGTACCCGCCACCCTCGCTGGATCACCTTTGGGTGTATCATCTTTTCAGTCATGCTCTCCAGTACGCTGCTCATGACCAAGAACTGGCAATCGCGGACCTCGGTTGGGCGTAGTGGCGGTGCGTTGGATGGGGAGAGGGAGTGGAGGTGGCAGGAAATGGATCCTTGGAAGGCCATTGCGTTAGCTGAGATGGAGAACTCTAAGGATTCGACGTCGCCATCATCAATGCTACAACCACAACAGGGCCAGGATCAGATAGGACAGGGATCGGATGATAGAACTTCACCAAGCGCTCAAGGGATAAAGACATGGGATTTGAACGACCCTGCACTCGCCCTTGGAACATTCCTGGACTCTCCCGACTGGAAATCCCAACCACTCATTCCAGGCGCCGATTTCGTGAACCTCCTACGAGTCCTCCGACCAGTCGACCACGCATTCTTCATCACCCTCTTTGTCAACCAGTCGCCCGGTCGCCTGGAGGCTGCGCGAGAGGGGGGCAAGGGTATGTCACCCAAGGCTTCTGCAATACCAATCCATGGGCAGCATGGATGTGGGTCTTGGATTCAGGATTATATCGAATACCAGAGTGCGATCTTGGATGGGACTCTGGCCGCACGGTATACTGTTCATGCCTGTTCAAGTGCAACGACACATATACCATCGCAACAACAGGAACAGGAACAGGAACATGATCAGGAGCGGGAGAAGCAGCCGTGTGGGAATGTGTTCTCGCAGATGATTGCCATGACCTCGGCGTTTGCTTGGTCTGTCAAGGAGTCGAGGGGTTTCTTCTTGAGACCTGATCAGATCCGCAGGCTCCAGGACAGCTTCCGGTCACCCGTCCTCCAACAACAGTGGTCGTTTCCTTTTCCGCCCCGGCTTAAGGTAGCCAGCGCCGCCAAGGTCGATACTGAAGAGATGACTACTCAGGGCCTGGAGACTTTGTTTGGATTGGAAGATGCACTCTTCTCAGGGACAGATGATGGAACTGTGGATCAGGCACAGGATCGGTTGTGGGTAATGAGGAGCAAGAGCAGGAACCGCGTCAGTTTTGAACGCACCCTGTCAGCACCCAACGACTCTATTGTCCACCCCTACCAACCCTCCTCGCAACTTAATCGTGGTGGCCAGCAACATCCCAGCAAAGCTATGAGCCCTATCCAGGTGAAGAAACTAAAGGACGACCTAGAGTCAGAGGGCGTCGAACTCATACTCCAACAGGATCTGTTACCGCTCTTCGTCAACACCACCCACACCCTCGACCAATTCATCGACCTAGGTCTCCCTCTCCCCCACCGGATCCTAGAAGACCACCAAATACGCCACCAATCAAAACAACAACACCCCACTGTGTCATCCACTGTGTCATCCACTCCAACGTCCATCCGCGCCCCCTCCGCCCGCGGCTCCCTCTTCAGTCCCTCCTACCCTTCCCTCTCATCATCCTCATCCATCTCGCACAAGGCCATCACAACTGCCCTCCACGCCGCAACCCACGACTCCCACGACATCTCCCGGATCCAGGCAGCACCCAAGACCTTTGGCTGCTTTCTCGACATCCTCCTCCAACCACAACTCAATCTCCAACAACTTATCCACCCCTACGCCACCCTCTTCCAACTCCCTGCCATCTTTTCCATTGGCATTTTTATTAAATCCGACCCCTCCACTTCCTCTACACCTACAACTCCTCATTCCTCGTCATGGAAATCAATGTCGGCGAATCGCCAGAGAACAGTCGACAGGTACCTGACCTGCGCTCGTCAGATCGTCCGCGAATTCGCACCCAAACGCAAGGGCCAAAAAGTCGTCTATGTCGTAGTCTCCGAGGACCCTGGGATGGCCCGGGTCATGGAGTCCCAGGAGGAGTGGGATGAAGAAGTCATCGCCCCCTCCTGGACACGTTACAAAGACCGGCACCATCGTCAGCCTGTTCAACCTCATCAAAACGATCCCTCCACAGGACCAGGACCAGCACCAGAACCAATGCAACTGACAAAACAACAGCAACAAGTCTTGGAGAACTGGGTGCTGAGCAAGACGGACTATCAGGTCGTCTCGGACCAATCTGATTTCGCAAAGGTGGCAGTGTGGAGGACACGGCGTGAGGGACGAAGTGTTGTCATTCGCGAGAACCCAGCTCTTGAACAGTTTATGGCCTCTGGTGGTCAGGATGAGGGATATGTCGATATGTTGGACTGTGGCATCCTTCTCAACAACCTAATCAACCGCGATTAGCTTTGTGCCCCACCTTTTTTTTTTTTTTTTTAAATAGGCCATTGCTTTGCCCAATTATCCATATCGTCAACCAAAGTAAAAACTGAATGCACACACCAGCACTAAGGACGAGTTTTTTTTTTTTTTTTTTTTCTTTTTGTGGTTTTATTCAGCTGTTACACATGAACAAACGTGGGTTGTTGAAAATGGGAGAGAACAGATTTGGATGGTTGGGAAAGAAGACAATTTAACGGGAGGTGTTGGCAATGGCAACCTTGGCACCCTTGGCAGCCTGCTTGGAGAACTTGGGCTGACCACGGGCAGCAGCAGTGGCGCTCTTGGCCTTCTCGGACTTCTTGGTGGCATCAGTAACCTTCTTCTTCTCCTTTCCGTCACGGAGGGCAGCGGCGCGGGCAGCGGCACGGACCTCGGGCTTCTGGTTGCGCTTGGCGCGGATAGCCTCCCAGGAAGCACCGACGACGGCACGCTGGTGCTTGACGGTGCGGCGGGTGCGCTTCTTGGCGACCTCCTCAGAGATACCCTTCTTGTGCATGCGGCGGAAGAGGACGGTCCACGAGATCTTGCGGGGGTTCTTGCGCTGCAAGAACAGGGACTCGGCCTTACCGTTGACGAAACGGAAGGACTATTTGATTTTGTTGGAAGAATGAAGAAATAACGTCCTTGTTATTAGGATGGTTCCTTCTGATATAACTTCCTGTTTACGCGTTTGTCCAAGGTCTCTTTGCCAATTGTCCATTGGAAGTGTACGTGTCCTTGAAATATGATGATTAATTCGCCCCCAGGATTGATGAAGGTCCAATAAGTTCCTTGATGTTGTATGTATCGTCGTTCGTCAAAGAGTCTCTGCCCTTTCGACAGGAAATATGGCTAGTATGGCCCTTGGGTCCAAGTACGGCCTTTACAGGTACTGCGCCTACTGCAGAAAAAAGTCATTGATATCTCCTGCTAAGGCTGGTTGCTGAAAGTCCTGTACCATGGCCCAATTGCTCTCGTATATTGTTCTAGGGTATTAACGTACTCTGTTGTCGATACGGACGTAGATCTTGCCCTTGCCGGGGTAGATCTTGGCTCCAGAGAAGGCGCAAATCTCGATCCTGATGAGCAAAAGGTAAAAAAGGTACAAAGAGAAAAGTGATGGTCAGAACGGATGGTTCATAGAACAAGTAGGCTGGAGAAAGAAGGTTGTTGGGAGTAATAAAAGGAAGGTGGTTCTATCGAGCTGATGAAAGGGTTTCCCTGGTTGTTCCCTGTAGTCATGAGCTGGGTCCTCCGAAGGGTACTGAATCAGAGGTTCCCCTCACACCTCTCCTTGCCAAAAAACAAGCGTTGCTGCTTGCTTGTCGGGAGTGTTTGTCGATGGTCGTTGTAAGGTGTGATGCTTTACTCTTCTGTCCTTTGTGAACAGCGTTCCAGTACACTACAGGAGAAAGGTGACCCATCAAAGGTTCCCCATGCCTTTCAGGCTCAAGGTCCCGCTTGAAGGCTCCATCTTTTTCCTGTGGTGACCCCTGGAAGAGACGTTGCCAAGTCGTGCAGGTAGTGTGTTGATGGGTGTGATGGACTGGTGCTGCTTTGTCGTGTACTGGGTGATTGCTGCAATGGCTGTTGACTCCAGTCGGTCAAACTCTGAGTTTGGCCATCGGAACTGTGGGTCTCCCCACTCAGCCAAAGCCATGGGATCGTGATGACTCCTCAACCTCCAAAGTCGATAATGGTATGTCGATGGTTCCCGATAAGAATACTCCAGTTTCCCGATACGATGGCCAAGAAGAAAACGATGGCTGGTGTAATGTGATGGTTGGATGGATCGATTGATGGGCAATTCTGTAACGATGGATGTATGTATCCCCCCCTCCCACTGCACTACGCTGCTGAAGCATACTTCATGGTGACTGAGAATAAATTTGAAAGAAGGATCCAGCCAAGACTGCCCTTCCCGCCTAATCAATGAATCGCATTTTGGTGGCTGATTACCCTTAATCATATTCTTTATTTCGTTTCTGTTCCTGAACCTGAACTGACCGCACCTGCATTTCACGGACTAGGAGAACAGGTGCGGAGAAGCAAGAGAAAAGACCTTGTCTAGAATAGCACCACGGCGTCGTTCAACCATTCGAACATCATCCTCATCCCTTTCACCTTGCTGAGTCTGCAAATACCCCTCCCCTGCAGCATCAAGCAACAAAATCTCCTCCAACCCCACGGCAACACCCTTCATATCCACCTCCGTCCAGCAACTACGCTCAAACGTCGGCGCAGGAAACCCATAAGCCCCATTCAAGGTCGTCCGCATATGGATCCCATTCCACACCACCACATTCTCAACCTCCCTTGTCACCGAATGGCCCACTCGAAAGAACTGGCCATAATAAAACGCACAGATCAGGCGGATCATGAGGAGGGGGCCTAGTCTTGCAGAGAAGGGGATGATTGCGTGGCGCCATTCTTCCTTGATGGTGATGGTCGCGGTGACCCGGGGATCGTTTTCGTGGGGGACGGTGATGGTGTGTTCGGGGATGTAGAAGAAGATGAAGTAGCAGCAGAGGCGGGGGTCGAACGTGTAGGACATTGTCGCGTTCGGCATTGGGCCCAGCTTCATTGCTCCTCTGATATTAGTACCCGACGACGATAGCGGCGATGACGAGTAGGCTCTTGTAGATCGACGACTGTCGACGGCAACAGGATGATCGACACTGATGCACGGAGTGTTGCAAGAAGGGCACTTGAGGAGAGTTTCCTTGCCCAAGAACCAGGTCTTGATACACCCCTCATGAAAGCAATGACAACATTTGTGTAGCTGCACAACCCTCCTATCCGCATCCCGGGGTAACCTCATAGAGCGGCGCTGGTTTCTGCCGACAGTGAGGAGCGGATCCGTGCAGATCGGACACGTCTCGGTTGCAAACCTCCATTGGTGGGACGCGTTGTTGACTGCGAGGAGAGGAGTGCCTGGGGGTAGTTTGAGGAGGAGACTGTCGAGCATGTTGCCCCCCAGTTTATCAATCTCGGCTTGTCTCTGATCGCGGTTGAAAACCACGGTCCCGGACCGACTGGAGATTCCTCGGATGGCTGGCTGGATCCATGGGTCGATCATATCCCACACAGTAGTCGTCCTTGTCGTTGGATGTGCTTTGTTGAAAATCCACTCGATATAATCTACCAAGTGGCAGAACGGGCGCGCCGGAATTCGAGTACGAGGATTCACTGGCCAGAACTGAGGAGCAGGCATCTGTGTCTGAAAGACGGCCATGGGGACAATATCCCACCAGCGGAAGTGCGGGCATCGTGACACAGTCGATGACGAAGACGACGACAAGGCCTGAGGCCGAAAGATGTCCATGAATGGGTCTTTGATATGGCTTAGCAGATCCATCATGCTGATGGTGCTCTTGGCTGCCGTCAGGAGAGGCTTGAAGTCATCGGCCGAGGTTTTCAGGGCGTAAGCATAGTTTGTCACAGTGACCTCGATCGCGATCTGGTGTCGGTAGCAGAGATCCCGAAGGATGAGATCATGGTTGACCCACTTCAGGACTTGTTGCTGCTCCTGCGGCTGGGGTTGTCGTTGTGGCTGTTGCTGCTTTGGTTGAGAGGAGTTGGAGCACTGAAGCTGCTGCAGGGTTTCGGCAACGGATGCTCTATGCATCAGAAATGCATTCTCCAAATCCTCATTAAACGTGTATCCAAGATGGATCACTTGCTTGGCAGCAAACGCCCCCTGGGTAGCCATTTCCCTCTCTAAATCCAACTCCTCGGCTGCCATTCGCTTCCTGTCGGCTGCCTCCAGCTCTGCAAGCTGTCTGTGTTCTCCAGCAGCCATGAGTCCCAGAGCGACCTGCTCTGGCGTCCAGGTAGTACCTGAATCGGCAATGATCGCATCCGCGTGCTTGACCTCCATGGCCAGTATCAGTTGGTTGCATCGACTCATCATTACATCGTCCCAGTGCCAGTTTCCGAGCGGGTAGAGCTTGTTGTATTTCTCGGTAAAGGACTCCCTGATCGTATTTCTCGCCATCTCCAGCTCAGAAATGTCCCACTCCCACCGCTCCAGCAGCAGCTCAAAATGTGGGATCTGCTGAAGTGGAGCATTGATCGCCTGGGCCTGAGTTTTGCGAAGCTCTTCAATAGACCGATGCTTCTCCTTCTGTCGGTCTCCAACTTCTTTCAAGGTCGCAGCCGTCTTCTTCAACATCACCAGTGTCTCCTGCGAAAGACAGATCGGACCATTGAGGAGATGAGATGGACAGGAGACGATCCAGTGCATGTCGGTGGGCGTTGCTGGGAACTGAAAATTCTGAAGGAGTTGGACGCGTCGTGTGCCTGCGAAGAAGATTCGGACACGACAGGGGCCAGGGGGAGTGTTCAGGAGCGACTCAAGTACCAGGGCCATTTCTGGGTCGGGCTTGTACCATTCTGTCAGCAGTGGATGTTCACTCTTGGTGTCGAACGCGTCTGGATTGATATACTCGCCGTCGGCAGGAGTAGACGGTGCTGTTGCCGGTGGTGCAGTGACAAAGGACAAGACAGGGACCAGGATGTTGGTGTGGTTAAGGCTCAAAGAGCCGAGATCACCCTTGGAGAGTCGATAGTAGCTGGCCGGATCGTTTGTCGCCTTGAAGTGAATCACAGCCAGGGGAAGGATCTGCGCCTTGTCATACCTATCAATAGGATATGGAGTTAGTGAGTTCACATCTGTCATTTGCAGCCATGCTGCTGTGCACAAGCCTTGATATTCAACCACTAAACAAACAAAACAAATCAAAAAAAACTTACACGATCCATTCCTTCCAAAAATCAGTCTCAACCGCAGAATCAAAACCGTCAGGCAAGAAAAAGCTGTCCGACTTCAACACCCTCGCCTTTCGGTCCTCAGGCTCGACCAGAACCCGACCCAATAGAACCGCACAGACAAGTACAGCATACTCCTGCTCAATCTCTGTTTGCCGGTCAACGTACTGCATACACTTTTCGATCGAGTCTGAGAAGTAACACCCCGCACCGTAGTTCCGTCGATGGCTCAGGCGTGGGTCGAGGCCGTTGGTCAAGATCGAGGGGAGGTTGGCTTTGCGTGTTCCGTGGAAGAGTAACTCATCCTTGAACAACAGTTTGGCCTCCATGGAGTGCGATGGTAGGGTAGTGCTCAAGATGTCGCTAGCCGGGATGGCACCGGTACTGGCAAAGGCACTGGCACTGGTGCAGGTGACGGCGCCGCCGTTTATCATCATATTGTCGATGGCGGCGCAGAAGGCCAGCTGTTTTTCGTATTCGCGTCGTCGGCGAAGACGCTTTTCGATCTGGTATCGGTTCCAGGTGACGGTGTTGCTCAGAATCTGGATGCGTTGGATCGCGAAATCTGTAGGGCAGCGGGTGTGATTGAAGAAGTCGCTGCATAGAGTGTCGTAGAGGGTGGGGAGGGTGGGTCGAGAGAGATCGATGAAGGTTGGTGGTGCGGCTGGCGAGGTGTCGAAGAGGGGGATGAACTGGTCCGAGTACTCGGCCGTCTCTTTACTCTTCTTGAGCGCCATTGTCCTTTTTTTTTTTTTTTTTTTTTTTGCTGTTGTTTTTTTTTTTAGGTGGAAAGAGAGAAGGGAGGAATGAATGAGGAGAGAGTGTGAGTGTAGATATTTGAGAGAATGGGTAGAAATGGGCGGTCGCGGTAAAGGAACGACGCGTCTGCTTCCTAATGCCTGCTGTGCCTGTGCTTGAAACAGTTGCCACAATACCGCCTTTGTTTTTTTCATTTCCATTTCCTACTGACAAGTGACCACCCTTTGCTTCTGCACCCAGTCTCTTCTCTCCGCCTTCATCTTCACCCTCACCTCGACCTCACCCCATCCACCTTTATTCGTCTCATTCCACACAAGCCTTTTTATTCACACTCTCCTCCACTCCTACTCTCCACACATCACACCAAGAATGGACGCATCTCATGTCTTTGCAGCACAAATCCTCGACACCCTTCCCGAACCAGAAATCGCAGAGATTCAACGCCGCCAAGCGCACATGTAACAACCACAACAGCAAAACATCGCATCCACCTTTCACCCCTTCCTTGCTCTCTTGGAACAAAGGAACAACTGACAAAGAACTGACTGACAAAAAAAACACAAACCGCCTTTTTTCCTTAACACACACTTTTTGCTGTCGGGGGTGGGGGGAACATGCGATATGATATGATTAGGAGCGCGTCACTACAAAAGGCAAGCTCGTCACTCTCGGCCCTAAACGAGTTCTCGGCCGTCAAGTGGGCAGACCTCCACCCAAAGTTCGAAGCGCATACAAAACTCATTAAGGAACTCCAATCCGACCTCGACTACGTCTTTCGCAAAATACGGTAACTTATTCGCCTCCTCTTCCCGTTTCGTTCGATTTGGCCATTTTCCCTTGCGTCTGGGTGGAGGGTTTTTTGAGCACCAAAGTTCTGCAGATTTTCGTCCCTGACATTGGACTTCTATTCAAAATGAAAACAGAACTATCAAGGCAAAGTTGAACCTGCCCAACATGGACGACGAGGAGGAGGACGAGGAGGATGAGGGTAACGGTGACGATGGAGGCGCTCAAGTCAAGACAGCAGAAGAACAGGCTAACGCCTCTTTACCTAGCTGATCCACTTGCACCTCAATAAAAAAACAACAATAACATCAATGAAAAGGATACCATTCAATGCTGAAGTAGTAGTAGATGGCGCAATACAAGTTTTTTGTTCTTTTTGATTTTGATAAGTGTAGGATAGGATAAATTAGGTGGCGACTATGATACAATAGAATGGGTAGATAGAGTAGGGTAATGTAGAGTAAAGAGTGGAGAGAGGAACCAAAGTCACTTAGAACGCGGCTCCAGAACGATGGTTCGTTGAGGTGCGGGGAGACTGGGCTGGCGTGCTTTTGGGAGATCCCCTAGGTGAAGTTCGTGAAGAGTTGATTGTCGTTAAGACCTCGACCCACGATTCGTATCCCTGCCATCCGCCCCAGGACTGTCGATTGATGTTCTTTTGTAGTACTGCTGCGGATGAGCGCTTTTTCCTTTGCGACCAAGATGACACCGTTGCAGAAGATGAGGTCGAGGATGTTGAGGAGTGGTCACTGCCGGTTGGTGATGATGGCTCCGAATGGACTTGACGTGCCTCGGTGATATCCAGCTCAGACAGGGCTGGTATAGTCACGACCACGCTGCTCATTTCAATCGTATCCACCTGCATGCTGTATCCATGTGCAAAGGAGCCAGTTCCATGATGGTCAGAAGACGACGAAGAAGATGAGGATGACGAGTACTCAAAGACATCCCTTTCTTCCGAGAGTGGGCCAAGTTGCCATGCAGCCACGTCCTTGTTCCTGCTAAGCATGCTGTTTCTCTTGCTGTTCCAGCGGACATCGTTGACATTATTCTCCTGGACATTGCCACCCTCGTTCTCCTCCTCATCCTCGTCTCCTTGGTCCATCTCGGGGTGGTCCTGCAAAAATGTCTGTTTCTCCTGAGGATGGACGGCGTCAGCGTCGTACGTGCTTCCCTTCCCCTTCTCCTGTCTTTCCAGATCAAACGTCGTCATGGGCATCAGCGTGGGCAAGAAATAAGATCCAAGCCAAAAGGCGACTACGGCATATGCTCCTCCTCCGACAAGATCAACGACGTAGTGGTGTCCGAGATACATGGTCGCCCACCAGATCCAAAAGACGTAGAGGACGGTAAAGGGGATGGCACGAGGGCCAAAGATGTAGACGAGGAAGAAGCCCAATTGCCAAGCGTGGGCCGAGTGCAGCGAGGGGAATGCGCCAAAGACGAGGGGTGAGGCAGTGAAAGTGGCCTTGTACATATTGACGCCCAGGATGTCGTCCACGCGTGCCAATCCACCAGGGTCGCCAGGCATCGAATAGGTTGCTGGCTCAAAACCTCCATACTTTGTCTCGTACCCTAAAAAATAATAATGCAAAAGATGGGTCAGTTGTCGGGTCAATTGAACTTGTAGTTGGAAGAAAGGAAATATGAGCAGGGGATGCATGCTTTCCAAAAGGAGATTAATGCGCTGGTGGACCCCTGGACCTGGATGAGAGAGAAGACGAAAGGGCTGAGAGCACAGAAGACGAGAAACAACTATATTCCGGGATTGTGACCCTTGTCCACTCCATCCACTCGCTTACTCTTTCATAAATTCACCCATAATGTGCAGAATGGACAATCGTATCGAAAATTGCAACAGCTTTTGCTGCTACTTGCTTGCTGTTGAGCCCATTCATTCATTCGTTTTCTCCATTCAAATAATGAACCTGACCAGGCCCGTTAAAGATCCTCAGTTAACAACAATGTAAAACGAGAGGGGTGACAACGACATGTATTCCATAAAACACAGAGGCGTCAAAGGGAAAGAGAACAAGTGGGCGAAGAGGATGGTGCGGCGAGCAATGATAAAAAGAAGGATGAAAAGAGAAACGAAAAAAGAAAAGAAAAGAGAGAAAGAAAGAGCCAAAAGCAAACAAACGAAAAACAGACAAATGCGCCGAAGAGTGACAAAAGGAAAAACTTCCAACAGACGACGGACCATGTCCCGGGCGGCTATGCATACAAAAATCTATTTCCATCGCACATCTGTTGCTTCGATTTTCCTTTTTCTTTTCTTTCTTCGTTTTCTATCCTTCCTTCTTGTGTTCCTCACTTTCTTTGTTCCTTTCTTCAATAGTACGAAAAGAAAGGCAATGGAGGGCAAAAAAGAGAGAGACATAGAGAGAGAGACATAGCACTTACATGGAGGGGCACAGGGGAAGAAGATCTGGGTGAGGACACCAACCACATTCATGTAGCCAAAGGTCCTTGCAAAGACAGGGAGGGTGCCTGGAGGACCAAAGCAAACAATCAGGATGGCAGTGACAATGGGCAACACATAGTGAAGAATACCGTACGGGATCCAGGCAAGGATATCCTTGAAGGGAGTTGTTGCCTGGGCGAGCATCTCCGAGATGCTTCCGCCGTAGAGGATGTTTTCGAGAGCAGGGAGGACCGAAGTAAAGATGTGTGGCCTCCAGTTGGAGGGGATGAAACGGCAGCAATAGAAGAGGATCAGCCAGGAGGCCGGGGCAAAGAACGGTAGCATAAACAAGCGTGTCCTGCGAGGGATCAAGAGGGCGATGACAGCAAGGGCGATGGGTAGTTTGAACCAGAGGGGGTTGTCCATGATCCAGAAGCAGAAGGAGAAGAGGACAAAGAGGAACAGGTACTGGAGGTCATAGAGGGTGTAGTAGTGTTGCTGGAGTGGGCGGAGTGTGGATGCCAGGCCGGATTTGACAGCCCTGTGGACCCTGCGGAACCGCCCTCGGGGAATAGGTGTAGGTGGACTCGGCACCGCCATTGTCTCTTATATTGTTGTTGTTGGATGAATGTTGATTAGGTGTTGTATGGGTATAGGTGGTGGTGGTAGCGTGGTATCCAGAGAAGTTGATAGAGATAATAACAAGCTGGTTGGTGTGCTGCTGTTGCGAGAGAGTTTCGCCCAAAAGATCGCCCTACAGAGAGACAAAGAACACGTTGTGGTGTCGAGTGTCGGGGCTGTGCAGTGACGGGAGGGGAAGGAAGATGGGCAGGTCGATGGAGGGATTGAAGGAAGTGTGAAGAGAGAGTTGTGGATGGGCAGTGAATGAGGACGTGGGTGGAAGTGCGAAAGCGAGGGAAAGTGAATGAGGAGAAGGGAAAGTGAAGAGAGAAAAAGGGAGGGAAAGGGAAAGAGATGGAAAAGAGAGAGAGAGAAAAGAGAGGGAGAGAAAGAGAGAGAGAGGGAGAAGGAGCGGCGAAGGAGAAGGGGTTGAATACAAGTATAATTGACGAGGAGGATGATGGACGGCAGCGATAAAAGGGCAATTGAAGTGAAGGGAAGGAAAAAGAGGTGAAGAGGAGAAGGAAGAGGAGAAGGACAAAGAAAAACCCTTTATGTTTGTCGATTCAGGATGATTACAAGGATGATTACAGCGACCGAGCATTAGAAAGAAAGTTTTCGCTGAATAACCTCCACGAACTAAAAGTTTCAGAGATATTATTTGCTTGATCGGCTAGGAGACTCGAGTTGGAAGCATTTCTTCATGTCGAGACCTTCATATTTTGATACAATAACAAGGAACCTTGTTCCCCTTCCCAACAACAAAAACCAGTTCTCCTTTCAACTCTGCACACGACTCGACCCTTGGTCACACACATACACTTGTAAACACTTGGAGCGACACCCCTTTCTCTCTCCTCTTCCTTCTTAGACATCTAGACATTTTCTCCCTTGTGTCCATTAAACAGTCTCTTACACCAACAGCAATTTGAAAATACCCCTATGCAATTATCACAACAAGGAAAGGAGGTCCATTGAAACTAAACATGTCCTCGGTCACCACAGCAATCCTATTCTCAATTCATCAAGCACCATCGATTCATCTAGACTCCTTCTTTTCGCTTCATTTCCTCCAAGTCCCCTGTACCAAAAGCCCATCCACACCTCTCAAATGGCACTTCATTTCACAGAGAAAAGAAGAAAGCCACAAGAGCTTTGTAATATTGGAATTCGCACTATTGTCCAACATCTGCCTATGCAACAGCCTATCCGTGAGAGGTTTCTTTCGCTGTTTTGTTGCTCCGCATACCTTCAGCCTCGCCACCCATTCTCCTTTTTTTTTTATTTATTTCTTGCTCGAATCCTGGTAAAAAAGATCACAAAATCGATCATGCAGCTAACTCCTATCACTTTTTTGAGACTGTCGTTTCTCTTTTTTTTTTTTTGTCTACTTTCATCATTGGGTAGGATTCTCAACCAGATCCCTGATCGAGATCTACCAAGGAACCGACTGTGCAGCAAATAAAAAAGGTCGTACGCGCGTGCAAGAGATGAACGCGGGGGGGCTACGTAAGGTTGTTTGGGTTAGCTCCCATGTTGTTGTTTTTTTCCTGTTTGCACAATCCACTGCGCCATGTCTTGGATGCCAAGTCTAATGACATCAACAAAGAAAAAAAGTTCCTGCTTAAGGTTACAAAGACAAAGAGCGCTAGAGAAAGGAAGAGAAAGGAAGGAAAAGAGTCGGGGTCTGCGGAACACGAGAGAAGAGACAAAAAAAACTGTAAAAAACTGTAAAAAACTTGCGCGGCATTACATTAGTCCCGAAAAAAAGAATTGCTGGTAAGCGAGTTAAAAAAACAACAACAAACAACAAACAACACGTATTTGGTCATCAGCAGCAACATGTACCGCGCTATACATCGGGGGTAAAAAAAAACGACAGAAGAAAGAACAAAAAGGTCCGTGTCAGTGAGATTGACATGGGATTGTAATGGTCGTCTATCCAATTTCGTACGCTGCACTGTAGGTCGACATCCTGCATCGAGGGTTTGTTGTTGTTTCTGCGTCCGCTCCCTGAGTTAGGACCCCTTCCTTCTTTATTTTCCGTGGACCACTGTTTCTACGCTTGAAGTAAGCACCCCTGTCTTCAAGAGAGGGGGAGAAAAGGGAGAGAATATCAGGGGAGGAAATGTATTCGTGCAGTTGCAGTTGACAAATGTAAGGAGTGAGGGTGAAGAGGGGCATTGAAAAAGAAGAAGCCAGCACAGAAGCGGTGAAAAAGTCAGGGACTGAACTGGAAAAGGAGTCAAGTAAGACGCATGCTTCAGCTTGTGTTCGTGTTCGTGTTTGTGAAGGAAGGGGTGAAGGAAGGAAAAGGGGTTGAGAGCAACTGGGGGATGGTTTACCCTGTGTTGGTGTTGGAACACTTTGTAGCTCACTTGACTAGACTCCTTCCCCCCCCCCCAAACCCCAATGTTTACCAGTTACACCTCCTCTGTTGTGGTCACTCACTCCTGTGTCTCCCAATGTCCAATGTGGAGATGGACAACAATCAACATAACAACTCCTGTTGACTTTGTCAACAAACACAAGCTAATTTCGAAGCGAGCAAGAGAACAAGGTAAAGACATACCCCACACGAGCAAGAAAACACCAAACAAGGCCAGCCGAGCCAACAAACAATCGCACGCTCTTCCCAATCAACTCAGACCGCCAAGGTTTATCGCTTCCATTCGTCAACAAACAAAAAAAAAAAACTCGCCAAATGGCTCCTGGCGAATAACTACCGGATATTTCTTAGTGCCGAGAAGGAATAGGGGGAAAGGAAAGAGAGGTTGAACCCTTTTGCAGCCACGCTAAACTTTTTTTGCCTCCATCTCTTCTCATTCCATATGGTCTCGGCCGCATCCTTCTTGTGCATGCCCTTGTTTTCACTTCACCATTTCCTCTATCTTTTGTGCAAAATAGCCTCCAAGGTAAACCGGCAAACCCCTTCCTCCTCATCAGCCCCATCCAAGAACCTACATACGTCTTACATTCCATTGTTTCCTTTTTTCATTTGGCACTCAGAAAAAAATAAATGGAGTGCTAGCCCAGCCCTTCTAGACTCTTCATTTACCAGAGTAAGCGCCATGAAGTTTGATCAACTTTGATGAAGAGGAAATAAAAACCGGTTGTTTTTGGCAGAACAAACCTGTTCCTTTTGGTGAGGTTGAGAATTCTTTCCTGCCGCATTAACTTACTTTTCAAAGCTCTCATATTTTTTGAAGGGATGCAAGCAAGAGAAGAAGGCAAGTGAAGGTGATACCAAACCTATTTCTTTCTAGACAAGCAAATGAGGGAGAGAGGGAGAGAAAGAGGTAGAGAGAGAGAGAGAAAGTGGGGAGAAGGAGGAAGAGAGCCATGCAAGGCTGACCATATGAGTCTTTACCGGAGAGTGTTACAACGAGAAACAACTTGCCTTTAAAAATTGTTGACCTCTTAATTGACGCGTCGCTCTTTTGTAGAATCACACTTGGATTTTTTTAATTACCATGAAGCGAAAGCGAGACACAAGCATCTTACAATAGGATTGTCCACCCATACAAACAAACCAAGGCTACACATTCCATGCAACCAGAAATAGGAGTTTTGACATCGCACTAGTTGGATCTAATTCCTAATTCCTTCCACTAGCGTATTGTCACTTCAATGAGGAGACACATCTGTTCTTTTTTGGTATTTTTATTCTTTTGTTGTTTGTTCGCGGTTGGCAAAAGAGCGCTGAAATAATGAAGCTCTATTTACGGAGAATCGCCATGGCCACTGTCACGCCTTGGAGGATTCTTCTCGCGCAAGAGTCCAACCTCCCTATCTGCATCCATCGCCGCCGCCGTCGTCGTCGTCACAGATGTCGTTGAAGAAGGATCGACAATCAGATAAACCTGTTCGTCATGCAACGGTGGCGGCAACATGAACTCAGGGATCGAAATCTTGCGCTCATGATGCAAATGGTGATGACGGGAGGAAGAGACAGCGCGTGCATGGTGCGCCACATCCCCGCCTGGTAATGTCGTCGATCCAAAGGATTGTTTCCGGATCGGGCCTGATGGCAATTGGGTCGTTGGAAGGGGTGTAAAGACGGGCGAGGGTGGGGATACGATCGTCAGGTCGGAGTTGTTCTCGCTCTCGTACTGGTGGACCGTCAATGTTTGCTGTTGTTGCTGTCGCTGTCGCGCCGGTGCCGTTGTCGATGAGTTCTGACGCAGACTCATGGCCTGTAGACGAGATCGAATTCGGTGTTGATCCTGATCATCCTCGCTAAAGCTGGCTTCATCCTCCTCCGTATCTTCCTCATCGTCCTCCATGTACCCGTCATCACTTTCAGGCCCACTCTCCTCGTCCTCCTCCACATCCGCGTCGTTGCCAGAGTGCTGTGATCCCGTTGGTGACGACGGTCCCTTTCTGGCAGAGTTGGACAGACTAAACCGCACATTGGCCTCAACCTCAGGCGTTCCATTCAAGATCCGACCGCCAAATGTACTGTCGTCCTCTAGCGAAAGTCCAATGGTGGTCGTGTTCGGATCCGCTGTTGCCGTCGACATGAACACCCGACCGCCCTTGCCTCTCAAAACATCCTCCTCCTCCGTGACGGTTGGCAATGTCGACTCGAACGTTGCAGAAGTTGGTGTTGTAGTCGAGATGGACGATTTCCGTCCCAAGGTCGTAAACAAAGGCGTGAGATCCGATGTCATTCCTGCAGCCTTCCAGCACTCCTCCGTCACAGCCAAAGTCGTTGGATCCTTGTCGACCAAGACCCGAACTCGAACCTGGCCCTTCCAATTCAATGCCCGCAATATGTACAGTGTGCGGCCCTCCAGACAGCACCATCGACCACCCTCCCAAACGACAGTCATGACAGGACACTCCTTGGCCATATCCCGCTGTCCCGCCTTGAGCGCCGCGATCGATTCCTGGACCTCGGGATCCTTCTCGAACCGGTGTAGCGATCCGTTGTAGTGGATCTCGGACGTATCCAATGAAAGATAGCTGGGAACACCTCCGGTATCACTGGAGCCCATGATGTGTTTCCAAACATCCAGTTGTTCGACGCCATCTCGCGGGGAGTATGGTGATGATGATAATGATTCTGTTGTCGTTGCTGTTGACAAATTCGGCGTTGTTGTTACTGGTGAGGTAGTGGACGATGAGAATGTTGGCAGAGACGTAGTGTTGACCGCTAAGTTTTCGAGTTTCGAGAATCCCGCTGCAGAAAGCTCGCCCAGAGCCAACGGCCTGGCACCGGGTCCCATTCCAAGAAGGACAAGTTCATCCGAAGGATAATGAAGCGCCGTCAACGGACTTGGGTCGACAAATCCACCATCGCTGCTGTTATGCAGTTGCTGATCCTGTTGTGTGGACGAAGACCGCCGTGAGTGTGATTGGATTAGTGCGGATAGATCGTCGTCTTCTTGTTCGTCGTTGTCCTGTCCGTTGTCGTCGATTTGTTTGCGGATGTGATATTGTCGGTAGAGATGGTATTCGTTGTACCGTCGGTCCTTGTGCTGTTCGAGGAACTCTGGCGGACTGATGAAGACGTAGATCCTTGTCAGGAGGACCAACGCTAGTGATACGTAGATGACTGTCTCTGTTGCCATTGATGTATGTGTGTGTTGGCTGTGATATGTTGAGAGGAGGGAGAGGTTTTGTGAGAGAGAAAGAGGCAAGCACAAAGAAGGTGATTATTGCTGTTGTTGTTGCTTATGCGTTTGAGTTGCAGTTGGGTGGTTGGTTGGTTGGTTGTTGGATGGACCTGGACCAAGCTCTCAGATACAAAGCAGGATTGGCTTCGTTGAAAAAGATGTGTGTCTTGTTGTTATGGCCTATTAGGGAAAAAAAGAGGGATGCGATTGGTCAATGGTCGGAAGTGGACAATGGTTTTTGTGTTCAACGAGCAGAAAGTGAAGAGGCGAAGCGAGGTAAGGAAAATGACAAAAGACGGACTTGATAAAATGACAAAAAGAGCACATGCTTGAAGAAAAACACAACAACAAACAAGAAGAAACAACAACAATAAAGCATCCAGTCCTTCTCTCTCCTCTGTTATCCTCACTTTTGTTACACGGATAACAAAGGAGATGAAAGGTAAGCAGGAACAGATACGAGGAAAGAAATGAGAGGTGGTCCAAGAAGGAAAGGAAAGGGTGAGAAGGGAAACGTGGACAAATTTGAAAGTAGGGAAGTTGGGCACGGGTGTTCAGTGGAGTGTCGATTAGACGATACAGATAAGATGTGGCAAGGTAACAACAGGAAGAGCTATGTGGAGAATGAGAGAAGGGGGAGGGAAACAATTGTTTCTTGAAAGAACGGAGGAGGGGTACGAGCGATTGTCATCAGGGGAACTATTGACCCAAAGGGCAAACAAAAAAACTGAAGTCTAGGAACAAAGGGAACCGTGTCTTTTTCAAAGGCTAGAAGTCCCTTCCTCCTCCACCAAGACAGTTCCACGGGATGTGTTTGCATGAATGCAATTAAAATCGAGGGCGACAGAGAGGGAGTGTACGACATGGAAATAGAAAGGAGGACAAGCATAAGAAAGAGAGGATGAGGGGAGAGAGGCACGGTATTCGACATGCCAGACTCCTGCATTAGAGCCACAAGGCAAGCAGGCAGATGCACGAACCTCGAACATGGTCTATATGCCTGAAGGAACGATTATCGAGAGAGCGAAGCGAAACACGAAGAAGTGTGAGTGAGAGAGGGAGGTGAACGAGAACAGAAAATGAAGGGGAATGAGGGCTCAGCATGGGTAGGACGACATGGTGGTTTTTTCTTTGCTTCATTCTCATAGAGTAGAATGAGAGCGTCCATTCCACTCATACTCACTCTACTCTTATGGTTAATCTCTGTAAGCATCATCCCTTGTTCCGGGAAGATGATGTCAAGGCGAGGTCGAGTTCAAGGGGACAGAGGGAAAGAGCAAAGGTAAGAGAAAGAACGAAATGAAAACCCAACCTTCAACGGCCCAGCTCTCACATTAACGCCAGGAGTGAGGATAGCGAAGCAAGATGAAAAGTATAGTGTCCAATTGAACTGAAGACTGAGAGACACACAGCACGACCGCGATAGGCAGAGATAGAGATGAAAAAACAGTTGCATGACCTGTTCGGATCCGTCTTCCTTTTCTCAATCTGAGAGGGAACACAAGGTCGGTCACCATTGAGCACACAAGCAATCAACTGGCAATTGTGGCCCATATGGAAGGGGGGTTTGAGAGACGAATGGGCAGTCGGTAAACCGCAAATGTCGAGATCAAATAAAAACAGCCAAACCTCATCTGAGCACTTCTCAAGAATCTCTATTCATAAATATCACCCACACTCTTTTCAACCGTCAAAGCCCAATGGAGAAATAATGGGCAATAACAAAAATAAGGGTTGCGCTTAGGATGGGTTGAAGGGCGGGCGGGGATTGAAGAAAGAAAAAAAAAAAAGGCGGCAAAAAGAAGGCGAATGTATTCGCAGACGAAGCATAGGATTCGCGGAGACAATCGCATCCTAATCTCCCGCACATTTTGCATGTTGATGTTGATGTTGGTGTAGTGCTGTAACAAGACTGGTACGAGATACTTACGGGTAATCGTTCAAGTGGGTGTGATGGAGAGCGAAAATAAGTCAGAGAGAGGAGAGGAAAGGGAGGGAAGGAAGGAAGTAAGGAAGGAAAGGGAGAGGGGAAGTAATTGTTCTTGACACGGAATGGAAACACTGGAAAGCGCTATGCGACACAGAGCGAAGGAGAAGCTGCGTCTAATCAAGTATGATACAGGGACGAGTAGTTGTCCGTTGAAATAAAAAGGGTGGACTGTGAGTTGAAAGCGAGTGAGCAGCAGTTGTGGAGAAAGGGAACAGACGTGTGAAAGGGGATGGAGTGAGTAAGAACGGCGTGTCTGTGAGCAAGAATTGAAGAGAGAAAGTGAAGGAATGAAGGCACGAATGAGATGAGCGCAAGGTGTGCAATGAGCTGAATGAGTGAATGGAATGAAAGAAAGAGAGAGAGGGAGTGAGTGAGTGAGAGAGAAGTGAGTACGAGAGGAGAGGAGATAATACAGAAGAACAAGGTTTTCTGGAGAGAGACAGGAGCAAGGGAAAGGGAAGAAAGAGGGGGCTGGGGTCAGAGGGAGAAGATTGTCGGAAAAAGGAAACAATGGTAACAGCACACACGGGGTGAGAACAAGAAGAAAAAAGAGGGTGCGCACATACACTAGCATCAGTACCACATTATGAAAGAGAAGCGAGAAAAAAAAACCAATTAGCACTCGTCGTCAATGATCAATCCGATCAATAATTATTTTTCCTATTGGTCGTTCATTGGATCATAAAAAGAGGTCCAGGCCCCTTCTCTTTCCCCCGATGCTGATGTGTTCTCCCGAGTTTTGCCATTTGAGAACTCCACTAGAAGCAAATGTACAGAATTGTACATGTAATGTACAGCCAAATACCTTTTGGCAGCAATCACAGTAAATGCCATTGGTGTCGATGAAATATTTGTTGTTCTCTCATGTTTGATAAAATGGGCAAAGTGTGCTTGTGGACAGTGGACAATGGATAACGATCAATCGAAGTGTTCTTTGATCATTGGCGATAAGCAGGTGATATGCGATCAATGATGAGTTTTGTTTGTGTCAGTTATCACTGCGATCAAATATGGAGACTGGAGAGAAAAAAAGGGGCGGATACGATAATTCAAACAGAATAAACTTCCCACCAGGGGGGGGGGGGGGGGTGGTGAAGTCGTTGTTTTTTTAACCAGACTCTGCTCCTCATCGCCTCCTTCCTCGTCTCTTTCAAGTGGCTGGATGATTTGTTTATGTTTACGTCGCTTATGTATGTTGTTTTGTTGTTATGGTGGCCCTCCGTAAACAACAGCAAGGACGATGTCGATGGCTTTTTTGACCACATGTAACAATGCACAGGCGATAGCAAGACGGCATGAAGTGGAAGCATGTGTGATTTTTTTTTGTTGGTAACGAGGGTGGGTTGATTGGTTGGGCGACCACCACTTGTGCAACTACGTGCGCTCAAGTCCACAACACTATACATGAAATAAGGCTCCCAAAAGCCCTATACTTCAAAAATGATCTCAGAACGACGAGAAGAAAATAAGAATAAGAAACCCGGACATGGACGAGGAAAGGAATAAAGTAAGAGGGATGTCGGTTGGTATGAACAGCACCTGGAAACACTCGATTGGGTAATCCAGGCACACACACACACACATACGCATGTACGCACGCACACACGGCGGCGCTTCTCTTGCATCAATTTTTTTCTTTTTGCAATCGCAAACACGGCTTACAGCACTCATCCAAAACAAAACAACAAACAGGTAAAGTCCTTCCACTTAAGAAGAACGCGCTCACTATCTCTTTCCTCTTCACTTGTAATTTTTTTTCTCTCTCTTTGACCTAAAAAAAAAAACTCATCAACAACAACGACGTCCATCAGAGTCAAGGGAGGGATAGACAGAGGGAGAGGTTGTGGTGGCAAAAAACAGAGAAGCCGATACGTAAGACCTATCTCATATGTTTGTAGCACAACCACAATCCGAGGTAGTGAAGAGTCGAAGAGGGCAGTGCTTTGGCATGTGCAAAGCGCCAGACAGGGAAAGGGAGAAACAAGGATGGGTTTGTGTATTATCCGTGTGAATGAGATTTGAAAAAAAAACAGTGGTCGAAAGAAACAAAGAATGAAAAAAAAAAGGAGATAGGGAAATGGAAATATAAGGAAGTAGGGATATGAAGGGGATGAACAAACCTTGGGTGAAAGAGTCGATTCTTTGGTAAATCGGAAGTGGAGAGAGGAGTGTAAAAGAAGTGTGTCGGAGGATCGTGTTTTTGATGAGAAGGGTGAAAGGAAGGTTGCGAGAGGAAGGAAGAGAAGAGAGAGAAAAGAGTACAAGATGATGTGATGGGGTCAATGCAGGCAAAGAAGAAAATAATTAAAAAAAAAGTCGGGAAGAAGGAAAATCTGTCTGCTACATACAAACGCTGCCCTTTTATATGAATTTTTCTCAAGGCCTTCTATTTCCACGCAAATAGCCATGCGATGTGGGTGCGGGCCATCAAACATCAAACAACCTTCTTCCCAACAAGCACTCTCCCTCTCTTTATCATTTGACATGCATCGTCTTTTACTTTTTCCACCTTCTTTTCATGCATTCTTGATTATTCGCTCCACGCCTCTGCGCTTTTTTTTTGACCTTTTATGTCTCTTTGCAAGTAAACAATGCTCAATGCGATGCAAATAGGAACGGATCGCGCAGCAGCAGCAGTCGAGTATCCATCACATTATTTGTTGTTTCCTTCACGAAGAATCTTTGATATGAATAATTATTCATCGCTGCAGCCACCCAATTCAGACAAGCCAGCATCTCAGCCAGTCAGCCAGCTAGTTCGTCAGCCAGAGGAAGAAGACGAGAGCCAACTTTCTTTTTTTGTTTGTCCGGCCGACAGACCCGACCACCCGGCCAACGAACTTGCATGTTACCAGATGACGGCACATCTAATTGTAGACAGAAAACAGATGGGCGGATTATTGCTGCCTGTTGTCCAAAGGCTCTTCTCAAACTCTGATTTTTTTTCTTGCTCCTCGACCGAGACATCATCGTCGCTGTCGGTAAAAATTAAAAAAATTCAGAGAAAGGAGGGAAGGAGACAGGCAAAAGGGGGCCAGAGACGTTGTCAATCAGGCCCCAGGTTCCAAGTTCCAGGATTAAGAAGTGAATTCAGGAACTGTAAAAAAGGGGGAATGACGTCGTCTTGCGAAACTTGAACGACTAAATATGCATCGAGAACACACGTATCTGATAAAAATAGGAAACGCCACGCTATTCTCTCCACAACCCACTCCGGCAAGACAAAAGAAAAACATAAAAACAGAGACTCGTTACATGATCCTCGTTTCTATTATCTCTCTTGGAGTCGTTGGAGTCGTGGACATTTTGGACACTCACTCACTCACTCCTCACCTCACTCACCTCACTCACAGACACCATTTAATCTTTTTATTTCGTCTATGTCAAATCCCACGTTCATAATGGGTTGGGGTTGATAACTATTAGACAACACAACGAGAATGTGATAATTGTGTTAAAAAAACAACCAGCCAGGAACGTCAGGTGCGACAGAACCAAAAGAGCAATTACGAACGACGTGGCAAACAACAAAGACACGACAAAGTGTTAGATAAAATGGGCTGTGGAGTGGGTTCACACCTTTTTTTTTTTTTTTCTTCTCACTTTTTCTTTTCATTCCTTTCACATGAAACGAACGTTGTCTGCCATCCCCCACCCCCCTCCTTCACTTTGTTTATTTTCATGCACATACTTCTTCACTACATTTTTCTCGTTCTTTTTTCTATATGCTCCGTTCGGCGCTGTATACCGAGTTTAGGCTGAACAACCAAAAAAAATACAGCAAAAGAAAATATGCCAAGCTTTGGCCAACAGCATCAATTGACATTGAAAAAAATAATATATAAACCCGCAATTAGGATGTATTGGGCGCCAGTCATCTCGTTCGCCAAACGCGGTAAAGCCCTCCTCCTTCTCTCAGTACATACATCAGCCTGCATAAAACAAATGGGCTTTCTCATTAATGCTGTTTAGTTTTTGGTCTCTGTGTTTTTGGAATATTTATTTCTATGAGATGGACATGCAAAAAAAGAAGTGGAATAATGGAAGGATGGTAGTGGTAATGTAATGGATGAAATGAGGGCTTTTTGAAGAAAAAAAAGAAAACATGGAAAAAATAGAACAAACGAGAGGGAGGCTTTAGCGTCTCTTGTACTTCTTGGAACTCTTGAAGGCCTTGTTTCCGCGAAGCTTGCCCAACTTTCCATTACGTTCCTTCTTCTCATCCTTCTTATCCTTTCCTCCAAACTTGGATCCCGATCCAAGCTTCTTGGCCGCGGCAACGCCCTGTTTGGAAGCATCAGCCAAATCACGACTGAAATCAACATCCTTCTTCTTCTTCTTCTTTTCCTGGGGTTTGGTCGCTGTCTTCTCCGGTGCCAACTTGGGGATCTTGTTAGGCTTCAACGCATTCTTGGCAGACTTGATCGATTTGAGGTGAGAGCTGATGTCCTGATGGTCCTCCTCTGACAATTGGAGGCGTCTTCGCTTTTGACGAGACATGCCCGCGAACCGGTCGCGCTTGGGTGCATCTGGCTCTGGAACCTTGCGCTTCTTGGGTTCGTTCAATGCGCTCTTGCTTGCGTCTAAGTATCATAAAGGGAAAAAAATAGAGCAAAAAAAGAACATGTATTAATGACCATGGCCTGTGTAAGGAAAAAAAAAGTAAAAATAAATAACAAACAGCTTGCACTAGTAGCAAGTGGGCGTAAAGCAACAGCAAACAGGTAAAAATAAAAATAAAAAAAAGCGTGTGGGGCTTTCTTACCTTGTGCCAACTTCTTCTCATCAGAGGTTTGGAACCAAGTCTTGGCGGGTCTGCTGTAAATCTCGTCCTCGTGCTTGAGCAAATTAGACGACTTTCTCATCTCCATCTCCGCTTGACGAAGAGCCTTGTCTTCCTTCTCCTCAGCCATGACTTCCTTGACGCCCTCTGTCAAGCCCTCGACACGCTCGCGGTACCGGGTAATCACATCCTGAGGGATCACGCGGTTTTTCACAGTCCGCTTGTCTGCGTTCTTGATCGCCATCTTGAGCAACTTGCGATCGTTCTCTCCTGCCAATGTGACGGCACGACCCATGCGACCAGCACGGGCAGTACGACCAACACGATGCTGGTAGATGGCATAGTTCTGGGGCATGTTAAAGTTGATGACGGTATCGATACCCTTGATATCCAAACCACGCGAGGCCAAATCGGTTGCCAACAAGAAATCTACCCTCTCGTCCCTGAACTCCTCCAGAGACGCCAAACGCTGCTCCTGTGTAAGGTTTCCGTGCAACTCGGCCGACCGCAAGCCCATCAGTCCAAAGATAATCTTCATTTGATGCGCCGCTGCCTTGGAACGGAAAAAGATGATCACACGACGCTTGAATGTACGCGAGCAGAGAGCCAACAGGACAGCGGGGCGATCCTCCTCACGATGTTGACGGATACGGACAAACTCCTGAACCAAACGTGCTGCTGTGGCGTTTGAAGAGTCGACCTGGAGACGGACGGGGCGGTTGAGCGACATACGGATCAGCTCATCGACATTGTCGGTCATGGTGGCAGAGAACAACATGGTCTGGCGAGATTGGGGGCAGGCCTTGATAATCTCGGTCAACTCGGCCGAGAAACCATCCTCGAGCATACGATCAGCCTCATCCATAATCAGGATGTCAATGTGATCCAGTGTGAACGAGCGCGAGTTGAGGATATGATCGATCAAACGACCGGGGGTGGCGATCAAAACATCGGGACGAGTGCGAAGCTGAATTTCCTGAGCGTTACGCGACAAACCACCTACATTTTCAATGATACGAGTATATTATGTTAGCCATGAGTGTGAGGTAATATCTTGCATCGCCAGTTTGAAGAAAAACAAAGTGAGTGGGACACTTACCGACGCAGAGTCCAAAGGTGATATCGGTAAAGCTAGCGAGCTTCTGGGCGACACTGTGACACTGGATGGCCAACTCACGAGTTGGGCACAGAATCAAGACGCGCGAGGTAGCAGTCTGGCGGGATCTGTATAAGAGACGCTCCAAGATGGGGACGATGAATGCAGCAGTCTTTCCTGAACCAGTGACGGCACCACCACAAATATCCTTGCCCATCAATGCAACGGGAATAGTCCTGGCCTGAATCTGAGTAGGCTGAACGAATCCGACCTGGGCCAATCCCTTCAAGATAGGACGCGACAAGTTCATCGTCGCGAATGTCTCGGCAACTTCTGTTGGGTTGTCCGTCTCAGGGGCGAAGTATGCTTTTTTACGCTACAAGTTCACAACCAGTAAAAAGCAAAGGAGATTGTTAGTTATCATACACACACATAATATCATCCTCTCCAAAGGCATTAAACCCTCGCAAAAGGTGAAGGTGAATGCCTACCTCCTTCTGGAACTCTGTCTCCTGTTCTTCCTCGTCTTCGCTTTCGCTCTCTTCCTCCTCTTCCTCGTCCTCAGACTCGGACTCTTCCTCTGATCCTTCGCTTCCAGACTCTTCCTCGCTAGCATCTTCGAGTTCAGCCTCCTCAGCCTCAGCATCCTCAAGTCCTGCGTCTTCATCACGACCAGCGCCAAAGCCATCCTCAGCAACATCCTCATCGTCCTCGGCAAAGGTGATGCCCTCCATGTCGTTGTCGTCGCCCTCCTCATCAGAGCTCAATGCCTCCTGGAATTCTACAAATGTGACAATATGATAAAAATGCAGCTTTGGTTAGCATGTCACTCTCGAAAACGTAGCCATTGGCGGTCAATTGAAAAAGAAAGACAGCCGGATGAAACGTAGATCCTGCAAAGTCCCTTACCACTCTCGTCGTCCTCGTTGACTTCCTTCTCCTCCTCCACAGGCTCAACAATCTTTCCTGACTTCTTGGCCTTGACCTGAGCACGTTTCCGGGCAATAATGTCGTCCAAGCTCAATCCAGGTTGCATCTACAAGTTTTTCAGTTGATAAAATAACATTGCATAACAAGTTAATTCTTTGCTTCCATTCATAACCCTCGTTCTTTCGCTATGATCCGAGTATCAGCAAAAACGTCCTCCAGGAAAGAGAGTCATACCTCATCCTGAGCACGAAGGGCAGCACGGGCAGCTGTAAAGTCCCAGTCGTGGTGAGCGCCCATATGTCCACCACCCTCGGCATCAAATGAAAAGTTGGGGTCGAGATCACCGGTGTCCTTGGGTGCGACGCCGTTGGCCTTCTTGCCCTTCTTGTTCTTCTTCTTGGTGACGGTCTCCTCCTGCTCAAGCTCCTCCTCGTCCAGGAAGGGAACTGTCTCGTCGTCATCGTCAATCGTCATAACAAAGTCGTTCGACATTTTTATATTATCTCCTTGTGGGTGTGGGGGGGTTGTGTGGCGGGGGATAAGAGGAAATGGAGGAGAGTGGCCCAAGACGGAGAGAAAGGGGTGTGATGGGTGTAAGGGTAATGGGTAACGAATGGGACAATGAGCTTCGAGAGGTTCCTTTTTTCTCTTTTTTTCTTTTTTTTTTCTTTGTGAGTAAACAAAGATGCTAAATTTATTAAGGGTTTCGCTTTTCACAGTCACTCAGTCCCAACTTTTTTGTGCAAAATCAGATTCCATGGCCTTGGCGCTCAGATCCGTGCTGGTTATGCTTGTACGTCCCACTCTTGCCTCCAGTCTTCTCCATGACCTTGACCTCTCCAATCACCATATCCTTCCCAACAGCCTTGCACATATCAAACACCGTCAAAGCCGCCACAGTAGCGCCCGTCAATGCTTCCATCTCAACTCCAGTGTTGCCCATACACGCGACTCGGCTCTCAATGTCAACTCGACCTCCACGAAGACCTCCCTTTTGGATACCAGCGGCAGTGGGAGAAGAAGAAGCCTCATCCTCGACTAACTTGAGATCGACCGAGACATGCGTTAGAAGCAGAGGATGACACAGCGGGATCAGATTCGACGTTTGCTTGGCTGCCTGGATACCAGCGATCTGCGCAACTGTCAAGACGTCGCCCTTCTTGTGTCCGTTGCGTTTCAGCAGATCGAATGCTACTCCAGGGAGCCAGATCGAAGAGACTGCCAGGGCTGTTCGGTGCGTAGGAGCCTTGTCCGTGACGGAGACCATTGATGCCTTTCCGGTCTCTGAGTCAGTGTGCGTCAATCGAGGGGTATCATCATCACTGTCCTTGGAAGAGAATTGAGTTGTGGGTGCTGAACAATGAAAGTTGTATACTGTGGCTGTTGCTTTCTTTGCTGTTAACCGAAGGGGCGAGGTTGTGCTGCTCCAACCCAAGCATGAAGTCAACGCGTTACGCGTCGCCATGGGGTGCGCCACCAAACGATGTGTCCTGTTCAGCATGGTGAAAATGAGAGTTCTGAATGAATGCGAATGAGGTGTGTGTATGTGATGGTCGGCTGTTGTAGCTGTTGGTACCGCGCTGGCGGATGCTGAATGTATTGGTTGTGGGATAAAAACGAAGTATTACGCAGAAAAAAAACGAAAGAATGGAAAAGAATGAAAGTACGCAGAAAAAGGAAGTATCAATCTTTAGTTGGGTGTGGAGTCACACTTCAAGGTTGGACGTGGGGCAGAGTTCCTGGATCATGTCTCCACCCCCACAATTTCATTTTTTGGTTTCTATTGTTATCTCTGTCTATTTTCTCTTTGCGCGGATGAATCCCGAGGGACCACAGGTGTAGAAGTAGTCGTCGGTGGCCGCAATCTGCGATACGCCATATGCCTTGACCTATTCGGCAATAAAAAAAGACGTTTGATCAGTAAATATCTAAAAAAGCATATCAGTCTCAGGCAACCGCTGATGACCATCCCATCAAGAGTCGATTCACTCACAGGAATGCGGTCGAATGTCTGCAGCTGGAACCTGTTGCGCGCCTGAAGGTTCTCAAATGACGACAACGGCTCAAATGTCTCCAAGTTCCATGCCTAAATACATACGAAAAGTATGGATAAATGATGGTCAATATATATCGCTTGTTTCGATAAACCCTTTTCTTCGGGCAACTGCAAATCTAGTTACCTTCATGTCTCCCTCGGCTGATCCAGAGCAGAGTGTGAGACCAGCTTCATCAATGTAAAGCGACCTCACATGCATCTCGTGTGCTTGAATCTTGTGCATCAACTTTGGCTGCCGAATGTCAAAGATACCTAATCATTGAAAATAATATGTCAGTCCTGTTGCATTCCATTTCCCAGCACCGGAGAGTAAGCAAAAAAAAAAAAACTTACAAATCTCGCCGTTGCGTCCTCCAGAGACTAAGAGTTGGTGGCGCCTCGAAAAGGCAATCGAGTATCCTCCTCCACGATCATGGACATTGTACGACTGCGTGCGTGCTTTTTCAGGAGGCAAAAGCGTGTCCCAGATGGCAACGTTTTGGCCGTCTCCCGAGGTTCCAGTGGTGGCAATCACACTGCTTGATCCCAAGAACGCAAAGTCGCGGGCACTCTTGTCGTGGCTGTGCAGAGTCAAGAAGGGCTTAGAGCCAACAACGTTCGAGTCGAACCTCCATAGATGCATGTCTCCCTTGGCATCTGTCGCGCCAAACTTTTGTCCATACGAGTCAAAATGCACCCTAGTACAAGAAAAAAAAATTGTTGTCAATCATCACATCAGCTAGTAAATATTGCATATCCTTCGCCTCCTTTGTTAGCTAATCAGTACCATCAGGACAATATACCTGGTCACTTTAGCGCTGGTGCCGCCATAGTTGTTGAGTTCTCTCGGCTGGCCAAACTGCCAGAGCGTCACACAAGGGTAGTCGAATGCCGGGTTGTGTCCCGTTAGGTACAAGGGGAAGCTTGGATGGTTCTCGGAACATGTCGCGATAATGTCCGCCCTGACCACAATGTTATCTACCTCTCCTGACTTCACACCAGTAACTCCCATCAGAGGGTCTCCGGAAGCCAGTCCTTGTGAACGACGCAAGTTTGCATCTGTGACAGCGTGGACGAGTCCATGATGGTGGTTAGGATGGGCGCCGTCGTGATGCTTGGCTCCCTTTCCTCCAAATAGATTCTTGAAAACGCTGTGTATGCTGGCCTGGCTTCCCGCTCGACTGACGTTGCTCTCGATGCTCTCGACTACACTCGGCGCCGTTGATGTATCGCCTGTTCGGTCGATCACATTGCCCTGAGCGTCCAAAAAGTCGCCCTCGTCCACGTCCACGTCTTCATCATCAAAGTCCATTTCCGAGTCCATGTCGCTGTGATCCGCATCTGTGGTGTTGAGGTTCTTCTGAAAGTCCAGCGCCTTGGAGATATCGATCTCGATAATGTCGGTTCGCGAGCAGACAGCGACAATGCGTTTCTCAACAGGGTTGAATGAGAACGAGGTGATGACAGATCGGGTCTTGTACAACAGAGTCGTGTCCTCGACAGGAGCAGGAGGTGACTCGTGGCCCTGGCGATTGGCTTCCAAAAACGCGCTCACTAGAGGAAGGAGGTGGCCACCACTCTCAAGGCCGCTGAGAAGGACCCAGTACTTCTTCTGCCAGTTGTTGAGGTAACCCCGAAGGTGATCCTGCAGAGGTGACTTCTTCATCATTTGAATGACCGTCTTTTCCTGCTCGATACCTGATCTGTTCAGCCTGTCGAGGAAGGAACTTGAGATAAACTTCCGGGTCTCGTCAGACATCCTGTGGCCGTGGTCCCGAAGCAATCCTTCAAGGCTCATGACAAGCGCGTTGGTCGTGGCAGCATTCAGCACAACTTCTTGTAATGTTTCCCGCTCAGATTTCTCGCCGTCGTGATCCTTAAAGTCGGACGAGATGGCGTTGGCATCAAGAGGCTACCAGAAAGTAGATATGCGAGAGAACGATAAGGAAGTGCAAATAATTAGGAATATTGCAAGGGCGTTAGCACATCACGTAGTTGTGCATGCTTACCGAGTAGAGGTTTCCTCCTAGAACTTCAGCAATGACCTCGACAGCGCCTCCTCGGTCTCCAACAACAAATCCACTGAATCGTCGCCATTGGAAGAGCATCCCAGCGAGTACAGCGTAGTCTTGCTCCTGCAGCGACATGATCACAAGCATAATGTAACTCGCCAGCACCATCTGTTCCCAGCGAGGCGAAGCCAGCTCAGTCTTGATAACTGTCTTTGCGAGATTGAACCACTCGCTAGACGACTCAAGAACACTCCTATCACAACGCAGTCATAAATGATTTGAGTTAGCGTCTAGATTCCTCTGTTCATATAACCGTTTCTAGTGACCTCAGTATTCTCATGTACCTGGCGTATTCCTTGATATGCGACTTCATGCAAGTTGTGAGGCGTTCTGTCAAGACAATGCCAACCATGGAGTAACAGGATTCTGAATAATGAGAAACGATTGCCGAAATTGGCGATCCTGTGCTCATCGTCGTATTTAGCCAGTGGAAACATACAGGCAAAGTGTCGACCTCGATACACTTGGAAATCAGAGCCTGCTCCATGACTACACTCGAAACATTAGCATGCTCCGACAGCTTGTCCCAGCCATACTTGATGTTCTCAACATATCCCTTGAAATCTGGGGCAACGAGCAACTCAGGTTTCAATGAGACAGTCCGGAGAGCGGATGCCATTGGCTACATGTACATGTACATGTTGAAAGGTAAATGTTAATTAATTGGCGAATGAACATGGCACGGCCAGATGAGAAAGTAAAGGTATGATAGCTTGTAGTTTGCTTACCGTGAGGAGTTGAACCACCAAGGTCGTGATGTAATCGTTCAATAGTTCCTCAGAGCCCTGCACATCATCTTCGTCGTGGAAATGACCATTCGCTCCTCCTTCGCCGTTGACATTGGACACCCTGCCCCATCTATCGTCCGCTGGTGGTGCAAAGTCGGCAAAGATGTCGCGTGACTGGCCAGAGGACTTGGAGTTGAGTTTGCTGCTGTTGCCCATGGATCCAAACGAGTCAACATCGAGCATACCGCTGTCAATGTTGATGAGGGGTGCTGCCGATTTGAATCCGCCCATCAAAGACATACCGGTTGATTTGGGAGTCGCGTCACCGTTCTGCTTGCCGGAGGTTGATGTCGATCCAAAGCTGTCGAAATCAAAGGTGCCACTACTAACATCCAACGATGGTGCTGTCGTTTTGAAGCCGCCCATTAATGACATTCCCGTTGACTTTGGCGGGTTGGCAGCACTGTTATTCTGCTTGTTCGAAGCCGATCCAAAGTTGTCGAAATCAAAGGTGCCACTGCTGACATCTGACGAAGGCGCCGTGCTCTTGAAACCGCCCATGAGCGACATGCCTGTTGACCTGGGTTCAGCATTGCCGTTCTGCTTCTTCGACCCAAAGCTGTCGAAATCGAGTGTGCCGCTGTTGATATCCGTCGACGGAGCCGTGGTCTTGAAGCCACCCATCAGAGACATGCCTTCACCTTTGGAAGTCTTGTTACCACCTCCAAAGCTGTCAAAGTCAAACGTGCCGCTGTCGACTCCAGAACCTGCAGGAGGTCCTGATTTGAAACCACCCATCAACGACATGCCGTTTGATTTCTGCTCATGCTCCTTTTTGACGGCTTCGTGTTTTGGCGACTCTGATGACTTTGAGGTACCAAAATCGTTAAAATCGAGCATGCCGCTGTTGAGGGTGGAGGACGACCTGGTTGACCTGACACCGCCTCGGAAGGACATACTGGTCGATCTGGGAAGACTCTGGATGCTCTCCCTCCTGACTTCCAAGATGTTGCGAACCTTCTTTGTATTCTTGCTGGCGCCACCCACAGGCATCACGTATCCCCAGTGCTTGAGAATGACCAAGCTGAGGAGAGGGCATCCGTAGTGCTCATACGCTTCTGCCGCACGCACGACCGCCGAGAACTCCTCGTCGCCCTCGTATCCTGAAAACTGATGGACATTCCTGCGTAGGTGACGATACAAAATAAGCATTGCTGGGTCACGATGTTGGCCAGAGTCGGTGTCGCTTGGTGACATGTCTATCGAAATATCAGACTATGGTAAATGTCAGTACATAATTCAAACTACGCAATCACAACACACAAACATGCACATATGGCCAGTGCTTACCAGGGTCACTTGAATTGCTTTTCCTGTCTGGTTGAGCATAGAGTAGAGCAGACTAAGAAGCCATGGATCAGTCGTAGTTTTCACAAGGTCCTGGAGCAGTAGCGTCAAGACTGGTCCTCGTTCCTCTGCGTATATGCAAATGGTAAATTTTAGGGATTCATGTTAGCATTCCTGTCTGCACGCTTGCAAATATTCTCCTATTGTACAGCACATTGGGCTCAATACGTACCTTGTTCATAGACGCGACAGATAGAGATGGCCAGCTGAAAGTCGTTGAGATGCTTGACGCAAACATTGACAGCATCTTGAAGCTTGT